CAAAATTTTAAAAAATTTAATGAAGATCGAATTTTGATGGAGACAAATATTTGAAATTTTGATCATTCATAAACCTTCCCTGGGGTCCCTAGATGTCCCACAAAAAATTTGGGCCCGATCGGTTCAGCCGTTTTGACGTTTATTGGATACAAACAAACAGACAGACAAGCCAAATTTATATATAGATAGATTTTGATAAGAATGTTTTCTATGGCCCAGGCCCCAAGCTCGGAAATGCAAACAATACTCGACTTCAGAAATGCGTCGAAATTGCTAAGAAAGGGGATCTTGGACCTCTTGCAACCTTTGGTAAATACATTTGCACAGGACTATACACGAATATGACACCATCTACCCTTCACAGTAACGAACATCGCTAGGAAATTCAAAAATTATACAGAGGCGTATTCAGGGGGGGGGGGGCTATGGGGGCTTAGCCCCCTGGGTCAGAGAAATCTATGGTTTTCAGGGGGTAAGGTATAACTCAAGCTGAATTAACTTTCCTTTTTTAACTTATGGGGAAGAGAATTCAATCTAAATTGAAAACGTTTGTTTCCCTTTTTGATTATTAGAAAAATTTAAACAAAATTGAAATAATTTTTGTTTTCCTAGTTCTGGGGAAGAAAGTTTTAAATTTTTTTCTTCTAAATCTTCCTTTCTGCTTGCTTTTTCACTTCGTAAATTTGTATGAAGCCACCTGAAAGTAAAAAACTTAAAAATAAACAGCTGATTAAAAATAAACAGCGGATTAAAAAGATTCCTTACTTAATTACTCAGAGGTTAACATGCACTATCCAGTATCCGGAACTTAATTAATTTCTATCAAGAAACCTTGCTTGTAGTGACTGAGCTAGAGCGTGGAGCAGGTTTGTTGACCAGCAGCGAGGAACAATCTGTCTCAGAGTTTGATATTCTTGTTCTAACAGAGGTAGACTTCTTCAAAACAATGGCGGAAGGGAAAAACAGGTTGAAATAATGTTTAAATGTAGAATTTTTATCAAAGGAATTGAGTTTTTGTCACAGACTCAAATATTTGAACTCCTATATCTTTGCAACCCTGATGGTGTTGACCTATGTTATTTCAAACTAACAATATTTCATCTTACATAATTTAAAGTATGAAATATGACACAGGGTTGCAAAGATTAAAAATGCTAAGTTTGTGGCAAAAACTCAATTCCTTTTGCAATTAAGATAACTGGCTGAGTTTGAAACTTTTGTAACGGCAAACTCTTCAGAAACACAAGACAGATTCACCAGAATTCGAACTTAACTGCTTCAAATTAAAAGGTTCCGCTGTGGATACTGAATTCAGGCTTCGTGGATTAGCAGTATCTCGTACAAAAGTACCGACCTGCACCCAAGGAGTATGGAATAGAAGAGAGATACAAGTGACGCGGCTCGCCCTACCATATGATTATGCATGCTTTGCAGAAGGGTACTCCATTTGTATAAGAAATATTCAAAATAGGTTATTGTATACGCGGTATCTGTACATCGAACAAATATTTCTTATTCAAATGGAGTACCCGTCTGCAAAGCATGTATAATAATATGGTAGGGTGGGCCGCGTCAGTTGTATCTCCCTTCTATTACATACTCCTTGCCTGCACCCCACTCTAAAAGTTATATGATCCGTGCCCGTACAACATGTACTGTAGTGTATATGCATTCAGTCGAAGGACCCAGCACGTTTTTTATGCAACGAATCCAGCCTGGCCAGATCACAGTGCCTGAGCCTTTAGAAATTGATATAACTGAAAATCAAAATCTAAATATGATAATTATCTACCAGAGTTTGAAAAAAAAACCTAATTTATTATTAATTTAGTGACCTGGTGCACTGTGTTAGAATAGTGGAAAACCTCTTTCTAGGTATATTCACTTCAAACTTCAAGATTTTTTTTATTATCTTTTTTTTAAAACAATGCAAACTTAATTCTGATGTTGGTTAACCTTGCAGGATTAAAGTTATCAATATTACTCATTACTCATTGCTATTATCTCATTTGTAAGGTTTGGAAAGGACCTCTTTTAATTTTAATTTATTTTTCCAAATCAAAAAAATTAATTGAAAATAACGTTTTAATATGAGTTTTCTTTCTTTGACAGTAATAATATACTATTATAATCTAGGACAATTATTATTTAAGAATTAAGAAAATTATTAATTATAAAAACTGAAGTGTTATGTAAATAGCACAACGAGATTTCCTTGAAAAAGCTGGCAAATCTCGTAAACCTTCTGATGATGTGCTTAATCAGATGTTAGGGAAGTTTGAATATATTATTTTATAACTTAATTTGGAGTATTCATCGTAATGTTTTTCAAGTATTTGGGTGATTTTTTTATAGAAGTATTTTCTCCATGAAGCTGAAAACATTTCTTTGTACTGTGTTTTTTACATTGAGAGGCGCAACTTGGAGGTGGAGGGGGGGGGGGGTCAGCGGCTACCGCCCTCCACTAGTTTCCCCAAGTTTCATGCAGACCAAAAGCAGGGTGAAAGCTGAACACATTTCGCCGGTTAAAGGTCAAAAGCAATTATTTGTAATTTTCAAATGATAAAAATACACAAATTGTTTTTATTTGACAGCTAATATATTCTAATCTCTTAGAGCCCACTGCTAACTTTATCAGGTGCGACAAATATTTCACAATAGTTTATCGTCGTCATTATTATTAATATAAATAAGATATTGATTTTTTCTAATTTTTAATTTAAGACCTAACTGTCGTGATTCGATATTTGAGATTTTCATTAAACACCATCATGGCTTTTAATAAAATATTTATGGTTTATAACAATTTAGTTGTAAAGATTCAGGGATTAGAAAATTATTGTTTGTGGCAAGTAATCAGTTTCTTTGATTTTAACATTTTTTAGTGAAATCCAGGCTTATAGAGAGAAAAAGAGATGCAGTCCAGTCTTTAACCATCTATCTATGATATCAGAGTCAGTACCCGCTCTAGGCTGGGTAGGCGTTACCCCAGCTCCCGCACCATACGTCAGGTATAGGCTGGCTGGGTAGGCGTTACCCCTGACTCCTCCCCAAATGTCAGATTGAGTGTTACCACGTGCACCGGCCTTACATAGAAAGTTGAAGAAAAAGTCCTTTAACTAATTTTCAGCCCTTTACTTGTTGTAACCTTTTTAAAATTAATATTCACATCCCGTTCAAAATATAAGTAAAAGCTATTTAAACAAATGATTTATTTGTATAGAGAGTTGAAGGATGCGGGACAATTTTACGCAAACAGAGTTCTCAGGTAAACTTCAACTTCTAGAAAAATCCACGAAATTCACAAAAAAACGTGTTTTCTGACAAAACCTAGGATTTCTTGGCAGATTTTTTTTTCATTGAGATCCTCAGGGACATCTATGATCGGTGAAGTTGACATGTACAGCTGTGTTCTTAATTCCGAAAAAATTCCTTTCAGCCAGTATAAAATTGTTGTTCTTTTGCAGAGCGTACGTATGGAAATATGATAAAGTGTATCCTAAAAATCATCAGTTAACCATAGAAAATAAACCTACTGAGACAGTTTTACACTTTTATTATGTCTTTGATAATTGGTCCAAAGGTCGGGTTTATTGGTCGTCTTTATCATCTTGTCTCATTCTTTTCGGGTAACCCTGTATATTCCAAATAATTCTGAAGCCATATTAAATATCATATTCTGCTTTTAAATCCCATTTGAGGTGTTAAATATCTATACTTATGTTTTAGAGTTGAGATTTCATCGATTTAGGTGAAATATTATCTTTAAATCCGGGGTTTTTCCCTGAAACCTGTGTTTTTTAATTCTTCGTTATTTATCTTTTCAAATTTTCATGTACCGTTGTATATCAGGCATTACTGTCTTTGTATGGAGGGTCATTTTTAATTAAGCTTACAGTCTCTTTAATTCTAAGGGAGAGTAAAGCAGACAAGGATCTTGTGGATTCCTGGATAGAAATTCTCACCAGGTTAAAGGAACTAATTACTCGACTCAAACTCTAGTTTTATAATTCTTTATCTTTCACTTTAATCTTCCAAGAGGAGTAGGATTTATATAGTGTGCTAGAGCTGCCTAAAATTTGCACGATTAGTACAAAGGGATTAGAAAATTATTAAAGATTGAAGTGAGTGATCAAATTCTTAGCAATTCTTTAAATAAATGAACATTTTTTTTTACTTTTATTCAATAAGCATTATTTTGACGACCAAAAACATTACAAAAAGGTGGTAGAAAAGTTCTCCTTAACCTGAAGTAGGTTTACTAATAGGATCAAGAAATCTAAAAACATTTTCATTCAAATCATAGGAGTAGCTTCGCATAGCTACAAATTTTCAAATTACTTTTCTAAGTTTTAATCCTAAAATTATGGTTTCATCGAGATATTAAGAAAAGATAATTTTCATTTTTTATCATTATTAAGTTTCATTCAGAACTTGCCTTATTTCTAAAAGAATTTAGTTCTTGTGAGGGGTGTGAGGAAAAACCCTAGTCTAAGTTTGAAATAACAAAAATTCACACCATCAGGTTGAAAAGATTTAGGAAAAGAAAGTTTGAGCTTGTGACAAGAACTAAATTCTTTTAGAAATAAGGCTAAGTTCTGACTGAAACTAAATAATGGTAAACAAATGAAAATTATCTTATCTTAATAACTCTGAAACCATGATTCTAATAAAGGGTTAAAAGTTAAAAAAGTAATTTGAAAATGTGTAGCTATGGGAAGCTACTCCTAGGAAAATTGAGTGAAAACTGATCTAAAATCAGAAGACCTTCACGCGGATCCAAATATGTTTTTGGATTTCTTGCAGGTTCAGGTCAGCTGTGTCATCCAATGGAAAAAACTTAAGCAGAAGAAACATGAAGTCAAGACAATAATAATATAATACCAATTCAAGGCTTTTGCAATGCAAATGTGAAATTAGTCCTAAAAACATTCGAATTCACATATTAAAGTATTGGACATAAATTAATAAAGAAAATTAAGGTTGGCAGATTTCGTAAAGAAAAATCACACCACTGGACTTCAGTGGAATAGAAACGGAGCAGAATATATTCCCAAGGTAATTAGCGTACAGTGATATCCCACATATCATGCTGAAAAGTTTTGATTATATAAATATTGTTAATAATCATACATCATTGTCGAAAAAATGTCAACTATACAATGTGCAAAAATGATACAACAAATTTTTGATTTATGCACATATTATTAGGTACATTAATTAACATGCATTTTCTTAAGATGGATGATTCCAGGCAACCAAATAAAAGCTTTCTGCATGAGCAGCCAAAAGAGCAGCTCCCGAAGAAGAAAGCTGTTGTCTATGGAGCTGGTTCGGCGGTAAATAAACATCTCTCTTCTTATTACAATCCCAATCCTAATCTTATCTTTCCAGCATAGAAATACATTCATATCGGTTTCATTCAAATCATTCCCAACATACCCCCTAATTCATATAGGCAATCTTATTAATCCGATCCTTATTTTCTAGATAATCCAATTTTTCCAATTCGATTTCTTATTATTCCCGGAACAATAAATTTTCATCCCAATCATCTATTCCCGTAACAATCTTGTAAATCCAGTGTTAATCAGATCACATTTCAATAATCTCATTAATTTCTAATATTTGTAGAAAGGGGGAGTGGAGAAGTTAGAGCTGGACGGTAAGAAATGGATGGTGGAATATTTTAAAGGAAATTCAAATATAAAGGTAATTTTTTAAAACTTCAAAAATCTAATTGATATATTTACATATCTCTGTAAGTTATTTATCATTTATCCAAAGCAACTGTCCAGCTACCCTCCATTTGCAGAGTTACATGTCCAATTCACAACAATACGCTTTAAACCATAGTCCCAGCACAAATTGCTTGAAGCAGAGACCAGAAAGAAATTTGAAGGAATTTATCCATTTCTCTAGATGCCTTCCCCATTCTCAGATAAAGGTTTGAAAGGCACTAAGTAAATTTACCAGCTCTTGGAACAGAGGATTGCTTGAAATTACGTTACCTCGACCATTTGAAGAATTTTTTTTTTATATTTTAGGTTACAGCTCAGGCAAATCAGTCTATTTACATTTTTAAATGTGAGAATGCTGTAATCAAGGTAGAACATTTTTTCATAAAGAAATATCTCTTTTTAGAAAATATTGAAAAGGTATGTATCCAATATCAATTATGCCCAACTTTTTACGAATGGGAATTTTATATTCATAACTTCAAATGTGAAAAATAAAAAAGGGAGTTTGTGAGGAAAGATTAGAGTGTATCTGGTGTATCAGATCTATTCCTAGGTTGATGGGAAATGCAATAATATAATCTTGAACAGCTGCAAGAAGGTTGGAGTTGTCTTCGATAGTTTAATTTCAAGCGCAGAGGTCGTCAACTCAGCAAGCATTGAACTACAGGTTTATTTCTCGTTGTAAAACAGTGAACATAAATCATTCTAAAGATGTTAAAAGAAATGAGTAAGAAGGTCCAGATAACCTCTCAAATATTAAGAATTTAAAGGCCACAAATGAGTTCAAACCAGTTTTGCACTTTTGCAAATATTAAAAATTGGGCAAGTTATGGTCAACATTTTCTCTTTTTAAAAATCACTCCAAAGACTTTTTTCGCCCGAAATCGGTGAATTTTTATTTATTTTAACAATGAAATTCCCTTGAGACCCGTATGTTCAAAATTTCCATTTTAAGTTATTCTGGTGATTTTTAAACATTTTTTATTATTTTATACTTTTTACAAACATGCGTTATATTCCTTGTAACATTTAATTTGCTCCTGTAAAATGATTTCAGAAACATCACATTCACACACTTGAAAAAATTGCACATTTTGGAAGTTTCCACTTAAGACCTTTGGGAAAAGTACTTAACATCTATACTGTGTAGGTGCTTGGTACAGTTCCAATTGTTACCCTGGATAAAACAGATTCAGTTCAAATCTATCTGAGTGAACAATCTAAGGTAATTGTAAAATATTTTTAAATGCCAATCTATTCAATCAACTTTTTTCTGGCTTTTTTCCTTGAATTTAGATCCCACCAAGATCCCTTAAATACTGATATTTAAATTAAGCTTGAAAAGCAAGGTTCTAACATCTTCTAGAAAATAATTACAGTAATCAATAATAATTAATAATAAAATAAATGATATCCGAGCTTTGTAATAATCATTATTAATTAATAAAGAAATATGTTAGAACCGGGTTGTTCTTTGGTGGATTTTAAAATTTAAATTGCAGATGATAAGAAAATAGTTGTTAAAGGTTTGAATAATAATTTAGTTTGAATGTTATGTTACATTATGATATTTTGAAGAATTGCGAGATAGTAACTGCTAAAACTGCTGGAGTGAATATTACAGTTCCTCAACCCTCAGGCGACTCAAAGGTTCTAAAATAATTTTGTGTCGAACACATTTTTTGGGAACTCCTACTTTTTGGGGGTTTTTGCTTTAAAAAAATCAAGATTGAGAATCAAATTTGTATCAAATTAAAAAGTTATCAAACTATGTATTCTTCAAAATCATTTTAACAAATAAATATTAATTGCATAAAATGAATTGCCAATTTCGATGTTAGAAAAAATTAAAGTAAATTTACTTCAACTATAAATGTTCGTAAACTTAAAGACTCGTATGACGCCAAAGACAGTCTTTCTATTTTTTTGTACATTCCAATTTAAATGAATGATTAAACACTAGCCTATGTCAAAATCGGTAAATTTTTTGGTTCAGAAAAGAGTAGTCGCTATAGAGGTGCCCAAGGACAGGTTTACAAAACAAATTTTTTTTTGGATGACCCTAAGGGTCCCTGCCCGGGGCCTAAACTTTGCAAGACGGCCGTTTTTTTTGATGATTTTAAAGTTTTTTTAAAGCCCGTTTAGGGACCTTCTTACACATCAAGCAATATACATTTTTTCTTCCTCTGTAATCTACATGATGTAGACTAACATATAAAAAAGTACTCTTCTTGATACCTATCCCATATTCTCCGAAAAATAAAATTTAGAAATAAAGATTTTCGAAAAATTTCGAATTTATGATTTTCATACCGTACTACATAAAAACTCAGGCTTATACACCTACAGAATTAGGCATATCTTGCATCTATAATCTAGCATATATACCAAGACAGTTAGACATATCTTACATTTATACTCAGGGATATATACCAAGTCATGGGTATAATATGTCTAATTCTATCTAGGTAATAAGCCTTAGTATGGATGTATGATATGCATAGATAAATAAATAAACATAGATAGCTTATGTACGCAAAATCACCAAGAATTGTACAGTCCGAGAACTCATACTTCTAGGGGTCAAAGTGTACTTAAATGATAAGCGGGGTGGGGTGGTTTGGTGTTTTAATGGATTTCATAATTATTAAACCACTCAGGAGTGAATTTTATTTTGAGAATATCAAGTTATCAAATTATCATATTGACGAGAACTGAAGAAGGACATGAGAAGGACTAAACTAACTTAAATTTCTTTCTACAGAACTCATGTACACCACAAGTACTCAATGACATAAGAACAGCCAATGTTCACAACCGACCTAGTTAATCTATATAATAGGAATACCTTTAAAACATCTCTGTACATTTATATCTTTCAAGATGAAAAATTTCGTCTTATGCGCAATCTATCTTTATCTATGATGATATATTTACCTTTCTATCTATATATGCCTGAGTATGGATGTAGGATATGTCTAGCTGTCTTGGTATCTATACCTAAGTATGAATGTAAGATATGTCTAACTAACTAGATATATGTGTATGAGCATGGATGTATGGTATGTCTAACTGTCTAGGTATATATGCCTAAGTGTGTACTTATGATATCTTTAACTGTTTGAGTATGGATATAAGATGTGTCTAAATGTCTAGGTATATATGCCTGAGTGAGTATGGACGCATGATATGTCTAAATGTCTAGGTATATATGCCTGAGTATGGATATATGATACGTCCAACTGTCTTGATATATATGCCTGAGTATGGATGTAAAAAATGTCTAGCTGTCTAGGTATATAAGCCTAAGTATATATGTCTGAGTAAGTATGTATGATATCAAATATGTCTAACATTCTAGGTTTATATGACTGAGTATGGATGTATGATATGTATAAGGCGTATGGATGTATGATATGTCTAACAGTCAAGTATATATATATATATGTATGAGGAAGTATGTATGATATGTTTATGCCTGAGTAGGGATCTATGATATGTCGAACTTTCTAGGTATAAAGTGTCATCAAAAAAAAATTTGGTTTAATACACCTGTCCTTGGGCACCTCATTACCGACTACTCCTTCCTGTACCAAAAGCTGGCCGATTTTGACATAGGCTATTAAACACAGCATCGAAGGAAAACGGAATTAAATTTAGTTAACTCACCCTTAAACAAAGCTTTCAGTGCATTCTGCAATATTTTGCAGTACACTGACCGAAGATATAGTTGCGTTTAGTGGACAGTGAACTAACTATACAACTTCAATTTGCTTTAGGGTTTCTCAACTCCACTATTTCAGGAATTCCCAGTTCCAGAACAGTTCAAAACTATCGTGAATGGCGGGAAACTGAAAACAACTCCAATGGAATCCTTCTAGCATTTAGAGAAGCGGGGGAGTAAAGACGAAATCAGTGAGTTTGCTGAAAGTGATCAACATATCAGAGATTTGAACAGGAATTTAGAATATACTCAACATGGATCTAATCAAATAGACTTAAACGGACTAGAAGAAAATGACGAATTCTATAAATTGGCCGATTTTTCCACTTGTTCTCATCAGATTTCAACAAAAATATGTTTAATACTTTAAATATTCACCTAAGACTATGATATATAACAAATGGATTTATTTTTAATATAAGTTACTTATATTCCTGCTTGATGTCGCCTATGTCAATTGCTGTAAAAAAATATGTGTTTTATGTTATAATTATATCTATCCAAATATGCAAACAGTAAATGCTTAAACTTCAGTATCTTATTTTTAAAATAAACACTTATGCAATCCCTCTCAGTTTTTAAGAAATTATATCAGCATGATTTACCTTTATTTGATAGCAGTTAAACCGGTTAAAACCCCGTCGAATTTAAAGGAATATTGAGCTGATAAACATAAAAATAATAAAATATCAAAAACTTTTAAAGCAAAAGCTTGATATTTAAATTTGATTTAAATGCCCCTCCTATGCCGTTACACAACGGTAATTTTAAAAGCTTTCTTTAATTAAGTATGAAAGAAATCAATATTTATAATTTTGAAACTGATTTATTTTCTATTTGGGAATTCTCTACTAAAGTAAGACGAGCATTTTTCACAACATGAAAGTTATTAGAACTGAGCTGGGAACTCTTGAATGATGGATATCGGGATAAATGCTTAATCTCCTCTTTTTCTTATCCTCCAGATTAAATAATGCTTGTTCTCCGCTTGTTTTTAATCTCCAGATTAATCAACTGATCGGGATTAAGGATATCCCATTCTAAAGTTCCCAGCTCTGAACGCTTTAAAACCTGGAAGAAAAACACAATATCTTAGCATATATAAAGAAACACTTGAAATTACGCTTACTTTCGCTTTAACCTATAAGCAAACGCTAAAAGAAATTAAATTAATTAAAATTCTCGGGCATAACGAGTTTTCTAAAATTTCTTCTTCATTGAAAATTCTCTTTATATAATACCGCCGAGTTAGTAAATTCTGAGATCGATTTATTTAGGTTTTTTATAGTTTAATTGTTGATTTACATGAGATTTCAACAAATTGTAAATTTACATAGCTTATATTTGAACATACAGATTTAAAGCGGATATATGTAAATTTAAGCTTTTTTAGTAATTTTGGAAGTTTTATGACTTGAATAATGTACAAAGATACCAAGTAAACATGATAAATAAGTACAACAGGCGACTTTTAAAAAATATTTTTCGGTTCCAGACTTACTCAAGTTCCACTATATCCTCTTCCAATACTTTCCTGATCAAATCTATTATTAATAAATTTCAGATATATCATGTTATGTACTCTTTGATTTTGAAATATCTTTGGAAGATTTATGAACTGCACAACAACACCACATAATTCTAAGTTACTCTCTATTTGTACTGTGGCACACCAGTACCCTTTTACACTTTATCTAAGTAATAAATAGGAAGATTTGTCGTTTCCTTTCCTTGATTGTTGCATAATACCATGAGTCACATTTATAGAAAACAATTTTAAATTAACATCTTTTTTAAAAGGAAAACAAGGATATCGTCATCTTTTTTGGCCGTTTTCAATCGGTCATGTCTTATGTTAAATGTAGGGCACTAGAAATTACGTCGACTGTCCTTAAAAAGTCGAAAATATCAAATTGAAAAAGAATAGATAAGATTCCTGACTAGTATACCAGGTGGAAGACGAGCAAGCTCAGATTCATTTCGACCCAGTTCCCCAGGATCACCAAGCTCTTCACGAATCCTGGCACCAAACTCTTCATCTAGAACAAGATTATTCCTGGCGCCAAATCTATCGCTAAAAACAGCGCCAGACAAATTTTCTCGGGCTCCGCTGGCTGTTGAATGGGTAGAGGTCGAGTAAACGTTACTTGGCTCAATTTCTTCGATAACGTCCGATGAATGAATACTGAAATCCTCGTTTGAATAATCGGCAGTATCCACAAATTCCTCAGGTTCATCTTGAGTTAGATCATACTGTTTAGTCTGCGTCGAGATATAATCTCCAGTCGGAAAATTGTTGTAATTATCGGTCAATGGTGAGGACTGGTTATATGCACCGCTGGAGGAACTAAGATGATGGTTAAAGGATGCACTTGGTTGGATGTGTAGACCGTCTCCTGTATTCACGAAGGAGCTAGTTGTAGGCGGGGAAACTTCTGAAATGTCGTCTTCATCGTCTAACAGTATTTCTTCACTGGTCTAAAAACAGCAATTCAACTCTATAGGTTCATTTAAGAGTTATTATTAAAGTCATTTAAAGGGGGGGGGGAGGTGTACCTGTCGTAACATATTCCCCTGCTGATAAGAGTTTGAAGCGCTGAATGCATTTATTTTGAGAGTTTTCCTTTTAACTCCTGGATGTGCACTGGATCCTCCTTGAACAATAAAATTGAACAAGGGTTGCAATTGGTGTCTATTTCAAAATATCATTGTTATCTTTCCCTTGTTTTTAATCTCTTCTTATTAAAATGGTTGTGCATGTATAAAATCTTTGTTCGGTGTATCATCATGTAATCTAATCTTTTACCAGACAAATACATAACATTTTTCTAAATATGCAAAATACCACTCTCACTAATGTAACATGGCCAGCAGGACAATACATTAAATGTTAATAATGATTTAATAGGATAAATAGTGAGTAAATAAAAAAATTCTGACCTGATGCATAGTTAGGTAGTTGATTAAACCCAGCTGCCTGAATATTAGACTGGCCTGGGTAAGAGTTTTGAAGCAAAGCTCCTCTTGATGCCCCATCTAATCCTCTAATTGGCCTTGTTCTTGTTTTTGTTCTTGTCATTCTTGGTGTAAAAGCTCGAGGTGAGGATAATAAATGTTGCTGAGGGGAATACATTGACAGTTGCGGGGAGATTCTCGGACGCTGAGGATGCATCATTTGAGGCCTTTGATGAGGCCGTTGATTCATTAGTCGTGGCCTCTGTAATGCTAGATTAGGTCGACGAAGGGGGCGAGACTGCTGTGGTAGAGCAATAGATCTCAACTGCTCAGTTCTGTATTTCTAAAAATTTCAAAAGGAAAATTTTATTCAGAAATAAATTTCAATTATTTCAGGGGGGTGTTAAATGCTAAATTGTTTGTTTGGTTATTTAACACTGCATAAGTTTTGCCATATACAATACGGCGAAACATGAGAGCAAATCCAAAATGATATAGTCTGAAAATGGTGGAATAAATTATACCTGGGTAGAAACATTTGGCATAAAGTTGGCATAAGTTCCTGCGTTTGAAACATCATCGTAATCTTCCTCAGTGGAGTATTGCTCATTTAAATACGCATCATCTTCATACGCACCAACATTGTACGCATCCTGGTAGCACAATTGGTAAAAATGAATATGTTAACCATGACTATTTTTTTTTGTATCCAAAACGGCCCTGGACCGATTTTGTGGTTAATTGTCGATCAACATTTTAGAAAAAGCCTAAAAATATTTTGATTTTTCCAAATCTGTGAATTCAATGAAAACAGGAAAATCTGTGAAATATTTTATTAATTTTCATTACTTTAAAATGATTTGGCAGCAATACTTTAAGAAGGTTAAGCAGCAAAAAGTTTAAATTATCAATAGAAAATGGGGAGGCCTTGTAATTTTGATTAATTACAATTTCAAACTTTCATAACTTGTTTGTTTTAATAATAATAATTTTGACCCTTGCCTGATTTCCGCAAGATTGTATAGCATACTGAAGATCATTTTGTCCTACTCTTTGACCTTGAGATGTCCGTTGGGCCACTGGAGGACGCACAAAAGATCGACCAGAAGCAGGAGATCTTCCTGTTCGGATTACTCGACCTTGAAAAGCACCGGCTGCTCTCATATTCCTTCTGAGAATAGGAGCTGGAGTACGTCTAGGGGTTGCTGCTCGCACTACAGGAGCAGGAGCAGGTGCAGGATATCTGATCCTCTCAGGAAAATATTTGGCTGCTGCAGAGTCCGGAGAAATCCAATCCTCGTTCTCATCCTCATCCTCGTCCTCGTCAATATCAATAATCTCCTTAAAATACAAAAAGGAATAACTTACTGATAAACATGATAAAAAATACAAATTTATCTTTGACCAATTGCAAAAGTTTAAAGTTAAAATAACTTTTGTTTTGGTCCTTCAAGAAGACTATTTTCTTTAAGGAAAATGGATTTAAATAATAAACAAACTAAAAAAAATACTTAAAAAATAAGAAATACAACAGTTCACCTGAAACAAGTTTCTACGCCTGGCACTGTCAGCCAAGCTTCTGTTCTGATATCCAGATACAATATGGGAACTATGCGGAGTTCCTCTAGGAGTCCCTCTTCCGCTTGGTGGAGTACCTCGAGCACTTAGTGGAATACCAAGGAAAGTCCTATACAGAGTCATTTCTCTATTAGATTCCCCTCTAGGAGTTGAACTACCCCGAGGAGTTGAACCTCTTGAAGGAGAATATCCCCTCGTTGGAGTTAAACTTCCTCTGGGAGAGGCTTGTTTTCGTGAGGAAGATTGATAAATTGTGACGTCATCTGTCAGATTAATAATTTCTGCTTTCGAAACGACGGAGCCCCCTAGAACAAAGAAACTCAAATATCGATGAAACATTGAGGATAATGTTTCTTTGTAGGAAAAAAAGGTTCCGAAAAAGCACAAATTACAATAATTAAACAAACTTTAATACTAAATTTTTGTCAAAAATAACTACATTTAAAAAAAAGTTTAACTGTATCACTTTTTTATTAATGGAGCCCTCTTCAATTTTTGCTAGACTTTTAAACTAAACTAATTTTAAAATTGAAATATAACTTGAGGAAAGCCCAAGTATTGAAAATATTTTTTTCATATCAAGGTACTCTGGTGAATCTTAAAGTTTGATTATTTATAAAAAAAATACAAACCCCCTACACCCCCCCCCCCCCCCCCCCCCCTCCCTCTTACCTTTTCTAGGTTTGCCAGTCGGTGTGAATAATCTTTTGCTTTTAGGGACTTGGATGGTTTTTGTCTCACCAGTCAAAAGAAACAATTCCGTTGTAGACATCTAATTAAAAGATATTTGTCCAAAGTTACGCAATTTTCGAAAATTAATCAAGTTTTCTTCTTCTTTCATATAATTTAAATTAAATCTTGATAGACTACCTGCTTTTCGGGTTTTAAATTCCTATTTTAAACTTGTGAGTACCATTTGGAACTATTTATCAAATTTAACTTATTTTTTAAATCTGGAAACATTCTTTTTAATGCGAACTAATCTATTTTGATATGAACTTCTTAATTTTCTCGACAAAAAAGAATTATTTCTTCAATGGAAAAAATAAATCATCATTATGAAAATTTATTATTTTTTAATATTAAAAACTAATTTTTATCGTCCTTTTTTCACTAGGAATCATCAAATTTTAAACTTATTATTTTTATTATTTTCAATATATAAGCTTGTTAATTTTTAACTTTTTTTTTACTATTTTTCAAAATGGACACTGAAAACATATTTTTTTAATTATGAATTGTTCATTTTTAAATTCATTTATTTACTTTCCATAAAGAATTTGCAACTGATTAAGTTATCTATTGTATCTTTTATCATATAAACTAATTATTTTTACACTCATAAATTTTTTAAATTAACTAATAGTTTATTGGATGAACTTATTTTTCAATGTATTTTCATCATTTTTAAAATAGAGTCATCATTTTATGAAATGGAGTTATTACTGATTATAATGGACTTATACTCCCTGGAATAGTATAGTATTAACATATATTATTATTATTAATATTAATATATAAACTCGTTATTTTTTTATTATTTCTTAGTATGGATTAAGTGTAACGGAATTAAAACTTTTAAAGGTTGGACTAATTATTTCCTTCAAGTCCGTATTCTCATTGTCTGAGTGTTCAATAACCTCCAGGGAGCTATCACTACTACTCTCCTTCTTCTCAAGCGATACACACAGACGGCATGTACCAGCACCCTCGCATGTACAACCCTAAAAGTGTTATGTACAAAAACTTTAGGGGAGGCTTTTTAGGGTGGAGCCTAGGGGGCGTTACATTAAGGTTTACTTTTTAAGAACTTAAAACTAAAAAAAATCGATAGAAAATATTCAATTTTATTTTCATAAAGTTATCCATTTTAAAACGATGAAACAATTTGTAGTTTGTATTGATTTTGTGCTATATGGGGGATTTTAAACAAAAACCTTTAATCTTTTGCAGTAAACACATTTCCCAGCGCCCTCACATAGACAAGTGCTCCTGAAATAATTAAAAATGTTGTTAATCAAGATAAACAGAAAAATCGAAGAAAAAAAAACAGTTCCCAAAATTAAAAGGGATCAGGCCTAGTGTGTGTGAGGCTTTGTATTGAAGCTTGGACAAATATTGTATCTTATCCCATAAACCTTCATTATCCCACAAATCAATTTTTTCCCTTCAATGCTAAAAAATACAAAATGGCGGGGAAAAATTCAGAAGGAAATAGCTAACTATTTATTAGTAAATTTTTCAGTGGACCTACCTACTTAGAGAAAAGAAAAGAGGAAAATGCCTCGTAAAGAAAGACGATTTTCAAAAGGATTTTACCTAATTCTTTTCCACTCTTTCTCTTCTTCATCTTCCTCAACCTCGTCTTCCTCGCTCGTCTCACAGTAGTTGACGACCAGCTTCATCGTCTCCCTGTCCTTCACTATAGCGTCAACCATCTCCCTCATCCCTTCCTCTACACCCCCTTCTCCTTCATTTATCCTTCCAGCCTCATCATCATCATTCGTTCTCTCATCCTCTACACTCTCGACATACTCACTGTCCTCATCCTAAAATTCAAGGATGGAACTGAACAATTGTCTAAAACCTTGAGTTTTATATTCCCAACATTTTTGCAACCTGATGGTGCATAAACTTTCGATATTTCTAAATATGGCTACTTAAAGTTAAAGTTTAAAATATCAAAGATCTACAACCTAAGGTTGCACTATTTCTATTCGGTAAATATTATACTAAACACATTCAATCTAATTTGCAAGTAGAAAATCAGCACTTAACATAAATATCACCTCCTCAATTCCTGCGCCTGTACTGCTGGCGCTCCTGTTGTCTCTGAGTCTCGCTAGGCGGCGTTGTTGTGCTTGCTCCATCATTGCATCAAACTCAATCAAAACCTAAATACAATAAATTATTAGAAACAAGTTTAAACAAATCCAATTATTTGTTATAGTTATACATTCCGAAAATACAGAATTTCTTTTGGAATCTTGGAGCTTAGGTCTATTAGCCATTGTGCATCTGAGATTTCTCTCAGATTTTTCTGCAAATCTTAAAATAGCCATCCTAGAGTTTCTCGAGAAAAATTAATGAAAAAAATTAACAATTTAACCCTATTAAACATTGGTTTTCCTTGAGCATGTTGTTTATTTCCTAAATCAAAAACTAAAAGAAAATTACTTTTTAATAATTTCAAATTACAAAAATCAATATTACGAAAAAATGGGATGATAGGGAAAACTAGCCGGCTTGAAGAGTATGGTGTAAATTAAGATGTTGAGAAAAATTAAACCTGTTGTAACATTGCAACCAGACCAGTGTGGTTACATAAAGGACATCTCCAGCTTAATGTTGGCCTAAAAAATGGCAAAAAAAAAAATTATATTAATTATTTTAGCAGAATACATTTGGGAAAAAATAAAAAAAATGCCTACAAAAGTGTTTTTCTTCAATTGATAACGCTATTTTTTTAGGTTTAATCCCTTTGTATGATGCAACCAAGTTCACATATTTATATTTATAAGGGGAAATTATCTTAAAGAAACTATATCTGTAATTTTAACTGACCCTTCATTTAAGGAGGGTCATGCCTGATTCACAACGGTTTGTAAAACCTTTATCTTATCATCGTTGGAATATCTTAATAATAAATCAAATTCGAATTATTTAAATCGAATTCGATATATTCAAATCGAATTCGAGTTATTTAAATCGAATTCGAGTTATTAAAATAAAATTCGAATTATTTAAATCGAATCCGAATTATTTAAATCGAATTCGAATTATTTAAATCGAATTATTAAGACCACATTTGAATTTTTTTGTAGTAGAGCCAAAATTTGTCCAATCTGTACTTTTATCGGTAAACGGACAATTAACAGCAGTTAGTAGAAAGCAGTTGAGGTGTTAACACATCCTCTCTCTGAGGGAAAGCATGCAAAATGCTTTCAGAATATATTCAGGACTAGGGCCGCAACCCTTATATAACCTTTTTACAGTCAACGAGTATGGGTTCACACCCTTTGTCGATGGTAGATGTCAAAGTCTGCTACAGTCAACAAGAATGGGCTCACACCCTTTGCTAATGGTAGATGTCAAAGTCTACTTACTACAGTCAACAAGAATGGGTTTACACCCTTTGCTAATGGTGGATGTCAAAGTCTACTACAGTCAACAAGAATGGGTTTACATCCTTTGCTAATGGTAGATAACAAAGTCTACTAGTCAACAAGAATGGGTTCACACCCTTTGCTAATAGTATATGTCAAAGTCTGCTACAGTCAACGAGTATGGGTTCACACCCTTTGCTAATGGTATATGTCAAAGTCTACTACAGTCAACAAGAATGGGTTTACACCCTTTGCTAATGGTGGATGTCAAAGTCTACTACAGTCAACGAGTATGGGTTCACACCCTTTGCTAATGGTAGATGTCAAAGTCTATTACAGTCAACAAGAATGGGTTCACACCCTTTGCTAATGGTGGATGTCAAAGTCTACTAAAGTCAACGAGTATGGGTTCACACCCTTTGCTAATGATGAATGTCAAAGTCTACTAAAGTCAACGAGTATGGGTTCACACCCTTTGCTAATGGTAGATGTCAAGTCTACTACAGCCAACGAGAATATATTTCTACTTTTGCTGAATCAATATGTATTTATAAGTTCAATGAATGCATTCTTGAAAATGTTTTGATTATTTGAGTGCTGACTAATTATCTGCTTGTAAATGCACAATGAATGTATATTTTGTTGAGATTTCAATATGTATACTTTGTTTCAACAAAAACGATCAAACAAAATTATCAAACATTATATTTTCAATTGGCTCATAATAAATTTTCTTTTGTGTTTTATTTTTAGCTGAACCATCATACATTATTATTTTGTATTTTGTGTTTGAAAATAAATACTATAACTATAACATTATGCCACGAGCCGTAAGCCCTTGGTCTAATACTGATTTAGTATAAATCACTTCAGTTTTCGACACGGAAGGTAGGATATCCCTGAAATTCTGATTTGATTTAATTTGAAATATCTTATTAATAAATCCAGAAAACATAATGAAACATAGTCTAAATATAAATCGCATAACATTAAGGTTTAAAAAGAAGTTTCTAAAATATATGTAATAACCTGGAATATAGCTTTGGTTTGGTACAATCTTTATGCCAGCTGTACCCACATGCACAGGTATATACAGGGTTTATAGAGTCTACCCAGCAAATATGATTAATATTAAACAAGTTTTCAGGAAAATCATTTTTTAAAGAAAACATAAAAGATTTGAAATTTTTCAATGTTAATCTAAGCATATTTTTGCCTGAATCGTACAACCCGCAAAGTTTACAAGACAATTTGCGTTCAAGTCTTTTTTTGTCTTCTTTCTCCTGCTTTAATCTGAGCTTTTCAAGCTCTACTGACTCCCTGGAATAGAATATATAAATATATATAAATATATTCTAAGTCTGAATTTAAAAAGTAATTTTCGCTTAAAAAAATAAAGGTGATGTGGAATGAACTATGAACATGATAATATCATAAATATATCGTTACTACTTTAATGCCTGACAGACGTTTCTGTAAAGTGATGGTAAACAGACCAGAATCAGCTAGTTTCACTAATGAGAAACCAGTTTTAAATTTATTAAAAGATCTATCTAATACCCCTTTTATTTTCATCGATAGGATGATTGCAGTTATTCCTTATCCATAATCTTGTATAGATGTTCTCTAGAGAATTCCTTCAATATCGTCTGATATTATCTGATATGACCTGGTCTCCTTTGTTTGGCGTTAACATAGGCCATATAAATTCCAGCTGTTCATCGTTACAGAAAACATATTGAAAATAACAATTAAATAAAAATCAGGACAGATAAAAAGTATAAAAAAAGACCTGATTGCTTTCTCAATTACTGGATCCAACCCAGCTTTGTTTAACCTGGTACTTCTTCTTCTCTCGTACTGACCGTTTTTCATTCCATCTTTGAGAGTATCTTCATCCTCCTTGTTAGCTTCGTTCTCTTCACTAGGATTATCTTTTTCTTTTTCATCTTCACATTGAGTAACAGAATCATTTGTTTTTTGTGCATCTTCAGGCATAATTTTATCATAGTTTTCATTTTCTGGATTTTTGAGATCCAGACTTTGTGAGGAAGATTTGCAATTTTGTGGAAGATCATCGGTTGGAAGAGTCATGGATGAATCTTCTTGCATATTAGTATTATCACAGCTAAACAAATAATTAGCCTTATTTGTGTTAACAAGATTACTGAAGAAATAAAGGTTTCAATTTTAAGCTGCAACCCTAAAGTTAATTTGTTCATTTTTTTGGATCATCTAAAATTAAAGGAAAAATTTCCAAGGTTTTTTTTACCTCTGCAAAGCAAGTTATAAAGCTTTCCCATTTTATTTTGACTCCCTGTAAAAATAAATGAGGACTATAAAGGCTTAATATTTTCCTTGTTTTATCACAATTGAGTTTATTTATCTCCTGAACAAGTCCAAGTCCTTCATCCTGAAATATATTTCACTATTTTTTAAAATTATTCTTATTGTTGTAATAACTAGATCATCAAGCATCAGTCTAACAAAATTTTAATGACTTAAAAGAGTGAAAAACTATTTTTTCGGCTTTCTAATTTTAGATTTCGAACCTTAAGAACGACATTAATCTTGTCATGTATAGTCCCAAGATGAACCCAGATCAGATCATCCTCATCATCATCATCCTCACTATCATCCCTTGTGGTCCGAGCATCAAACTGACAGAGTTTACATATTCTCTTCTCAACAAGATGAGGAAACTTCTCCTGAAATAATAACCAAGGTCGGAACTGTATAAAATACCAAAACTCTACGTGCATTTAACTCGATATAGCTCAGCAGATAATTTCAGTTTCAAGCTATTTAGTGCTGTATCATAATAAAAATATGAAAATCTTCGAAAATCACTACCCCTCCCCACAGAATTCTAAAAAAATAAATACCCAAGAATGAATACCTTGAGTTGCCTGGTAAGATGTATAGAAGAATAATGTTCCCGTAGTTGAAGAGAAGTCTTAGCTACCACAGTACATATTTCACATCCATACTCTGGCTTATATACCTAGATAATAGACAGTTAGACATATTTCACATCCATACTCAGGCTTATATAACTAGACAATAGACAGTTAGACATATTTCACATCCATACTCAGGCTTATATACCTAGACAATGGACAGTAAGATATATTTCACATCCATACTCAGGCTTATATGCCTAGACAATAGACAGTTAGACATATTTCGCATCCATACTCAGGCTTACATACCTAGACAATAGACAGTTAGACATATTTCACATCCATACTCAGGCTTATATGCCTAGACAATAGACAGTTCGACATATTTCACATCATACACAAGTTTATATACCTAGATAATAGACAGTTAGACATATTTCACATCCATACTCAGGCTTATATGCCTAGACAATAGATAGTTCGACATATTTCACATCATACACAAGTTTATATATTTAAACAATAAGAAATATCTCACAGTGGTGTACAGTTGAATAATAAAGTTCCTATCTCCGCTTCTACTATTTTTTTAAATGCTAAAATGAAATGTTAATATTAACGCAATTTGTTCATATTGAAAAGAACGAGCAAGAAAATGGCCGACATTTATTCCATTCCAGAAAAATAAACATCTCTGTAGGATTTCAAATAAAGATTTAAAAGTACTAATACGAATCCTTAATGACACTATTAAACTAAAGGTTATTGAAGATATCGTTGACAATCCCTTTAACCTTAGCTGCCTCCTGCTCCTTCTGTAGTTCCTCCACAAGATCAATTTTCTCCGACTCGGCCTCCACCTCTTTCTTCTTCGCCTCAGCTAATTTCTCCTACAGAAAATAGAAACATTTGCCGAAGGTAAATAGTAATTCATTGGTATCCATTTATTTTAAAATCCCCCAAATCTTTAAAGGCCATTTTTTCTTTCACCCCGTGGAAGGGTATTTATTCAAAATACATACATATGTAATAATGATAATCTTATGAAATTAAGAGAATTTAGGACAAATTGTTATGTCATGATACAGAAAAGTTGTATCTTTCCAAAAAAGTCGAAAATATTTGTAATGTTTCCATATTGGTTGTTCAATGTTCAATGTTCACGCAAAATGATTTAAATTGTGAGGTAGCATGTTTCTTTATCACGTTTATAAAAATAATTTTAGAAATTTTTACAGAGGGCTTGAGATGGCAGGATAACTACAGGGTGATCCCAAAAAAACAGATTGGCGTTTTAAAGCCCCAATAATCTTTTGGAGTTACCCGAAAAGTATTTAGTTTTTAAGTTTAAGTGACATTTTGTTGTTTGATGCTTCCGTTTGGCACAAAACTGTGTTTATTATTTTAACCTATTTGTTAACTATTAACAATTAATAATTTTTATTATTCTATTCAAATCTAAATTGCGGAGAGAAAACAAATTAACAATGCTTAGAAATCATTATAGAGAATACTAAATTAGATTACTGTAATGTTTATATTTCAAATTATTTCTTGAAGAGGTACACGCCATGCAATAAAATCGCCTCTTTCCAAGGTCCATCAAGGCTGTTCCAACCACGGGCACGGAGTCCATCAAAACTGTTCCATTCATGGGGCAGGGATTTCTGCAACCTATCTTTTTTAGGTTTCTCTTCATGTAGTTCTGGATATAGGACTACCTATACACCTTGGATTTCAGAAACTCCAGAAGAAAAATTTAAGAGGGTTCAAATAGATGTAAATTTTTTTTTTGTTTCTTACAACAATATTGGTTAGCTAAAGTTAACAGAGAGGTTTTCGAATATTCGACTAGTTTTACACCAAACAATAGGATCGGACGACTAAAACTTATTTAAACGACCGCTTCTATAATTAAAACTATTTCCTGAAGCACATTTTTGAGACTTTTCTAGCGATTAAAGAGGCTAAAAAATCTTAATCCCTGATTTTTTGGGTCACCCTGTATGTAGTAATAGGAAATACATAAAAATGCCTGATTTAAAAAGTTTGTTACCTGTTCAACCACATACATCTTCTCCTGCTTTAGCTTTGCCATAAACTCGACTGAAATAAAAACACAAATTTATTAAAAAAGGAAACTTTGTACATTTGCACCTAGATTTTCTCTAGTTTGTTCTAGATTTCCAATGTACTCCTAGACCTACCTAGATTATCTCTTGTTTGTGCTACGGTTGTAAGATCTAGAGATCTTTCTATGTCTATTGTTCAGGTTGATTCACGAAGCACGATACTCTACAAATGTTTCTACACAAGTTGTCAAGATTCTGATATTATAACCTACAAATATTTATTCTACAATTATGAGTTTTATCCTGAAAACAATATTTATTGGACTTTTTAATCTGAGAACAAGAATTCTATACATAATCTGTAATTAAAAGTTTATCTTAAATATCCTGCATTTAAACCTATATATAGTCTCAAGGTCTATTTCTAAAAACTTATATTTAATGGCCCTTATGTTTCAGAACATAATGGGATAGACTATATTTTATCCAATTAATGTCCTGTTAGCTCCAGGTTGTGCACTCAAGGTTTATTAAACATCTAAATAATTGTTTTATGATTTTCAACGAACATTAAAGCTCTACTCTAAACTGAGAAACCAATCGATGTTTATAAAAGTGAATTCAGTCAATAATCTCGTGCTACCACCTGTTCTACCTGAACTCTGAACTTTAAATATAAACAGGTGATCAATTGAGAAGCTCCAGTTAAGCTGACTTGGAATTTTATTTAACTTTTGGTTTATCTTTAGATAAGCCTGGTTCCTCTGATCTGAGTTGCTGCTCAGATCCTCGTCATCACAAACCTGCAGTAGCTGCCATCTCTCCGCCGCTGCTACCATCTCTCCGCCGTTGCTGCGATCTCTCCGCCGTAGCTGCCATCTCTCTGCCGTAGCTGCCATCTCTCCTTTGTAGCTGCCATCTCTTCTCCGTAGCTGCCATCTGTCCGTCGTAGCTGCCATCTCTCCTTGGATGAAGTAGAACTACACTTCTCTCCGAACCCAACAGCTTGAAGATAAAGCTGAATTATAAAAGGTGATGATCAACAGATTGAAACTAGTTACTCAAGGGATTAAATAAACTAATTTAATCCTGTTTAGATATCTCCCCTATCAACCCTGAGTGCTAGATCAAGTCCTGTAACTTTTAAGCTGATCTTACCTGTACCTTCTATTCCCCAGTCTCTGTCGGGATAACAATAGGTACATATTAGTTTCTTGTGATGAGTGTGAACTATTCCTTCGAGTTATGAACAATTGAAAACACATATTAAAAGTTAAAGACTATATCTTTCAATATGAACTCACCGTGATATTTTTAGTTGTGTACGAGATATGTTGGCTAAGATCTAAAGAGCTATTAACCTCCGGCCTAATCAACTTTGTAAGTGCATTTTTAAATCACATTGTTATGTTATGACATTTTCACATTACACACCTGGAGCAAGCTTTATTGGCAAACTTTAAATGTTTATTATTTCTATTTATTACTATTCTTTTAATATTCATATTATAAATAATCTAAGCGTGACTGACTTTGTATTTTTCAGTTTCACGGCTTAGAGCTCTTGTTCCTGTATCTTTAGACTAAATAAATAAGATTAAGCAAGACTCTAGTGTATAAACGAGGTGCGCTGGTGAAAGATGTATGCCCATCTTAATGTTAATAGTATGAATACCTGTGGATCTAAGGTATTGGTATTCTTGGTTCTATCCTAGACCTTGAAAATGGCACAACGGTTTCCCATATACTCCTAGACCTACCTAGATTATCTCTTGTTTGTGCTACAGTTTCCCATGTACTCCTAGACCTACCTAGATTATCTCTTGTTTGTGCTACGGTTTCCCATGTACTCCTAGACCTACCTAGATTATCTCTTGTTTGTGCTACGGTTTCCCATGAACCCCTGGAGCTCGTCTCTGCATATATTCTCAGATCTCCCTCCTCTGACATCTTAGAAAAAATAATAAATCGGAAAATGCCCCCCCAAAAATTAAAATACCTCGTTAGTCCTGTTATATAATATTACAAAATTTTAACAAGAACGGACTTTGAAAGTCTTTGTTTTTGGAAAATACTTAAAGCCAACTCCGGAACTATGAGTCTGGTTTGACTTGATTTGAAGATTCTACCTCCTTCTATGTTTTCTCAATTCTCGTGAAAAAAAAAAAATAAAAAAAAGGTTGGATATGAATGGAGAAGAGTTCACCTGTGTCCAGTAAATATTCCCCTGTATATCAAGCCCTGTAGGATCCTGTCTTAATTCTTCAGTAGGGAGCAGGTCACATTCATTCTTCACTACCTAGATTTCATAGTTTATAAACCAGAGCAGTGATTAATATATTTTTAATCATATATTTTCAAAGCTTTGGGAAAATATTAAAGTTTTTATTTTACTGTATTTTACCCAATAAACAAAAAAAAATATTTATTTTGGAAGAAATCTGCTGGGATTAACAATATTTAGTAATAAGAATGTATACACCAGAAAACACAATTTTAACCCAACAACAAAGCTCAAACTATCATAACATTGAGCTGGTTATTGCGCATAGCTATATAACTTTCCAAATTAGAGAATTGAAACCTTTAAAAAGAAAACCTCACCTCGTTGCAGAGAAACTGAACCTCCATCAAACATTTTAATATTTCCAACCTTAAAATATTTGAGGAATTGAAAATTCAATAATAATATTTAGAAAAATACTTTATCAAAACAATTATTAGTTTTTAATACAGAAATAGTAGAAGTTTTTTATATGAACTGTATTTTTTAGTGGACATGATCTTTACCTGACATTAACACTAAGATCTGAGTATCCTGTTCCTTCAAGTTGAACTCCTTCAAGTTCAAGATCTCCGTCACGTTTACAGAACAGGACTAGAACATTATTAGTTACAAGTAGTTCAGGATTATCTATTTACTAGGCTAATAGGGCGCTTCGCGCCCAACTTCTATTTCAATTGTGAGCATGTTCCTGTATACATTGTAAATCAAAACAAAAAACAAAAAAATTTGCGATTTTTTTAATTCATGAATTTTCAAAAATCGAATTTTGTTAGAGGCAAATTTTTAAAAATTTTATCGTCGATAAGGCAAATGAAAATTTGGGAAGTTTTCCCCCTTTTTTGATACATTATACACAAAAATGTAATCATTCCTAATAAACTGGCAGGGGGAAATAATTCTCCAAAAAGGGGTTGGAGGAGATGATTTTCAAGAAAATATTCATCCCTTGAGTAGTTAGAGGGACGGCTTTATTATTTTATCAACATTGAGTTTAAAGCGTTTTATTACATTACATTATATGATTTCTGAATGGTAGAAGGGGCATCAAGTGTCCTTATAATTAAAGATTATAAATCAAATATAAAATAAATCCAGGGGTATTTATTCATTTTCTTTAAAAATCGTTCCCCCATCCCCTACTAAAAAATAAGTTTTGAACTCTTTCAATAAAATTCTTTTAGAAAATTAGTACACATTCCATTTGTGTACATTTTACCTAAAGCTTTCTCCCAATTCTTCTCACTGATAATAATCTTTGGAAGTCTTAGCTTCCTAAGGAGAAGGATGTGGATACGAACTAGATCATGGTGGGGGGATCCAGACGAGCCTAACAAAAATATAGTTTAACTAGATCATGGTGGGGGGATCCAGACGAACCTAACAAAAATATAGTTTAACTAGATCATGGTGAGGGGATCCAGACGAACCTAACAAAAATATAGTTATACCTTTAGTATAAAACTTTCTGGGGGAGACAATGATTTTATCCATTCTTCCTATTAGAACTTTTTACCCCAAAAATCTTTTATTTTCCCTTACTAAACGGATAAAACCATAAATTTTTTTTTCCAAATGAGAGATGGCAAGGACTGATTATTTTGGGAAAATAAATATACACCTCTATATACATTTGGAAATGTTATTTTCAATGTAATGGGACATGAAGTCATAAGACAACTGACACAAGATACTTTTAGAGCATAAACAGCTTGTAAACAACGTAATGAAACATAAAAAGGTACTGTTGTGAGTCGGAAACACAATTCTACAACTGAAGGGTCAACTAAAAATTACCCCGACAGTCCCTTTAAAAGACAGATTAAACGGAACCATTAAATGGAAATTAATTATTAAAATAAAAATATATCATCGAATTAAACGTTTGGTGAACATAACCTTTAAGTGGATATCTATTATCTACCTATCATAAGTTGTAGATCTTTCAACGGTACAGTCGGCAATTCTAAAATATCAGAGAATTTTATCAGAAAGTCGCATATGATCGCATAGTTAGGATTCAGGAGACACGAGTCCAGACTTCTCAGCTTTAGCTCGTCGACAAAACTACAGTCGAACTTGTCGTCATTCTTCTTTCGAGATTTTCGAGTCGTTTTCAGTTTAGTCTTTAAACAGGACTTCTTCTTTCTTGTGACAAACGATTTCAATACTTTCTTCTTCATTTTTTTGTGATTATTTACATTTAGCACTATGAGTTTCCAGGTATTTTAGAGAAGAGTAATTAAAAATATTTTTCTATTTTCGTCTTATCACCATATTGGAGGCGTGTGATCTGAAATTAACAAAAATCAATTCAATATTCAATTATGATTAAGTCACAATAACGATTTCAAGAATCTTTATTGATTAAGTTAGTAAAATGTAATTTAGCTTCGATAGTTGGTAATTTCCTAGTGAACGATTTTTTAAAAATACTAAAATCAAAATGTACCTATCTTTGATATATATATATTACTTGTTATTTTTGTACTTTTGATCAATAAAAAGATTTGAATAATAATAAGAAATATTGTCGAGACTACCCGGCCCTGTAAAACGCTTTACATTGTATCACTGTGTGTTAGGGAACTGTGCAATAAACCTTTATGACATTTGGTTCAAAAAATATAAAATAAGCATGTTCACAGATATTTTAAAAATTCACTGATTATGGTCAGGACATTGTTCTCTCTACTTAAATTGTTACATTCAAAATGAGAATAAATTAAAAATGAGAATATAAATAATAATCAGCTGTTCCAGAACTCTCTGAACTCTGGGTAGCTTAAACAGCTGATACCGGGGATCGGAAAAATTGGAATAGAACGATTGGAAAGTGCTTGGGAGGGGGCAACAGTTAAGCCCAAAATTGGAATTCAAAGAAAAAAAATACTTAGTTTTTCAACTGTCATGTTTGGCTGAACAGTTAACACACCCTGTGAGTTTATTGTAATAACGCCTTAACGTAGTACTACTGAAATATAGTTCGGATGATAAGACATCTTTCGAAAAATAATAAGGTAAGACGACTTCTCTTTAGACAAACCAATACGCGGCTCGAGGCGCAGTTTTATATTTACAAGTTCACAACTTAGCTTACCAAATTTAAAAATTTGTTGAAACAAGGTGTAGAGAACAAAAACTGGACTAATATATAATCTGATGAACCAGTTTTTAAATACATGAACCAAACCTAACCCTAAATATATTCTAATAGTCCAAAAATCATAAACTAAGACGAACCCCAAAGAGGGACATGTGACCACAGCGCCCGGCCCCCTAGCCTGTTAGAGCCGCCACGCTCGGCCCAGTAACCTGTCCTAGCAGCAGCGCTGGGCCCAGAGATTTACTTACCCTAACCTTACCTTGAAAGTAACAAAATTTAAAGATGGGGGAGGGTCCAAAAAGTGTTCTCTAGGTCCAACCCAGCATAGTAATATAAGTCTAAAATTACAAGATTTTTCCTTTTAGAATGTCATCCACTGGTCGTCCTATGGAAGAATTTTCCATGGCTTTTGTTACTGCCCCTACTGCAGATAAAGCTAAGGAACTTGCTTCTGGGATTGTTAGGAAGCCAAATATCTTTTTAAAAATTAACAATTTATAAAACTTTAGCGACTTTATGAAAAGGAATTTATAACTAACTTCATGAAATTCCGGAGCGGGTAAATTGAAGCTTAAACTCAATGTTTTGTAAAAATCTAGCAGAATACAAAATCTTTTCTATGAAACTACTGTTCTCATCTTTCATTAAATTCAAGTTTAATTTTTCTCTAATTTAAAAATTAAATCTTTGTTCAATGCTCAGTGGTAAACTAGCGGCTTGTGTTAATATTATTCCTGGAATTACATCTGTTTACGAGTGGCAGGGGAAGGTAATAGATACAGGTTATATCATCGTTAATCTTCCTTCCCATTTTTTTGTAAGCTCTGTTGGATTGTTTTTTTTTTGGGGGGGGGGGGGGTTAATAATTGTAAAAATCATTTAATATCATTCGCTAAGATCTCTAAAAATATGATTTCAAAAATTCAGCAAAAATATTTAATAAGGGTGGTTGATGACTAAAGATTCCATTTATTAAAGAAATGGTGGCCTAAATAATTTAAGCTGGTTAAATTTTTTATTTCTTTTCGCTGTTGAATAATAATACAAAATAACATTATTGTAATGTAACTAGATAGAAGAAGACTCTGAGGTTTTGATGATGATTAAAACAAGAACAACTAGTATTCCAGAACTCACTGAATACGTTAGGTATAAGTTTTATCCATTGTTTGTAGATTGAAGGGCATTTTGTTTGAATTTGCGGAGTTATTCTATTTATTTGGGATCCTATTTGAAATTATGAATTCAAGTTTAAGTTTAGAGTTTTGTAAACTGTGTTCAAATATAATCCAGATGCTGTCGTAATGATTTTATACTATGTTTAAATTAAAGTACATTTTTTTATTTTTCAATGAAAATGCTGATGTGAACGTATCTTAAAGTTTTAGAAATTCATTTTTTATTAAAATTACACCCCTTTAAATAACAATCTGTTATTTTATCTAGGAAGAATCATCCCTACGATGTATGTGAAGTAATCACAACGTCTATTGAAGGAGGAAATCAAGCTTATCTAGACTGGATTGCAAAAACTGTTCCAGAAAAGTGTGAAAAATAGAATTTATTTAGTTTACATTTTTTCCATCGTTTTTTTTACATCCCAGAGTGAAGAGTTGTGCAGAACGAGATCTGAAAAAAATCAGTTTATTAAAAGTTTATAATAAAATATATTTCAGAATTAAGATGAGTGGAAAACAGAACATTGCCAACATGGACACAAGGCAGGAGTTGGCGGAGTTGGTTCGGAGAAGAGCGGAGATATCAGATACTTTAGCAAACCTAGGTATAGAACTAGAGTAGGTTAGGAGATATCAAATCCCTTTGCAAACCTATTATACCTACAGAAAACTACGTACAGACATAACTTTAGCATAGTTTAAGAAAAGGACTGGTACATACAGGATTACTCACAAAGGATTTTACTGTGAAGACGACCCAAAACTCTTAGAACATGATAAATTGATGCTTGATTTGGTTTTCTTCCTTCAATTTATTATTTAAATGGTTTACTAAATGATTTAAAAAGAAAGAAGCTGGATTTGGTATGCAGGGAACCATGCAATCTAAGAAAAAGGATTAAACAAATTCCATGAAGTTGTCTCTAAATTTTATCCTTTGAGAGTAACCCTGTATATTAAATATAACAAGGATAATACGTATTGAGTTTATTTAGAGCGACAAATCTATGCATTTGAGGGAAGTTATTTGGAGGATACTCATCAGTACGGAAATATTATTCGAGGCTGGGATAGATATCTCACAGCAACTAAGGTTTGTTCTTTTTATTAATTAAAGTAAAAAAAGTTAGTTTATGATGAAAGGGGGTGACAAATTCTTCCCATACATAAGATTGATTGATTGGTACACCATGTTCTTAAATTTTTAAGTTTAAAATTTCAATCTGTTTCAGGCTGGTGGAAGCACGGACAAAAAAACGAGAAAGTTTAAAGAAAATGAGCGGTTGTTCTCAAGGTAAGACGGAGTATTTAAGATATATTTATTGTTAAAAGGACACCCCCCCCCCCCTCTTGTTTAAATATGCATGACTCTACCCCTTTTAAAAGGATAAACAGGATATTTTCTTTTTTTTTTGGGGGGGGGGTGTAAAAAAATCAAAGCTTATTTCTTACTTGGATTTATAAAGAGATAGCCCCACCCCCTCTGCAAACAAGGTAAGAGAAACTTAATATAGTAAAATATTAGCTTTTAGTATTAATGATGTGAATTCTCTAGGTCTAGTATAACATCAATGGCAGCCGTCACAGGAGGAATTGTTGATCAGGAGAGCACAGCGAGTAAGAAGATTGATTTTTATCCGTCTTGTAATTACCATCTGTTGTCTGTCTTGTAATCATGATCTACTGTCTGTCTTGTAATCATCATCTTTTCCGTCTTGTAATCATTATCTTGTACGTTTTTTAATCATTATCCGTTGTCCGTCTTGTAATCATCATCTGTTGGCCCTCGTTTAATCATTATTCATTGTCCGTCTTGTAATCTACATCTTGACCATCTTGTAATCATTGTCCGTTGTCCGTCTTTTAATCATCAGCCGTTGTCTGTCATGTAATCAACAACTTTACAATCTTGAATCCATTATCTGTCTTCTGTCTTGTAATCATAAATTTGACCATGTTGTAGTCATCATATGAGTGCGTCTTTTAATCATTTTTTTGATCATCTTGTAGTAATTTTCTGTTATTTGTCTTGTAATAATTATCTTTGTCCGTCTTGTGTGATCATTATCCGGTGTCCGTCTTGTAATCAACATCTTTAACATCTTGTAGTCAATTTGAATTTACTAAAATCTATTTTAATTTAGATTTATCACCTTTTTCCATGTTTCACATTGATGAAAAATAAACCTAATTGACAAAATTGTGTTACTTGTGATAATCTAACGTTGTAAGACGCAGTGCTCCTTGTAGAAAATCAGGAGCTCAATATTAAAATAACTCATTTTTATAAAACCGCGATGATTCGATCTCTACTTTTATTCATCAAAATTTTATTTTTCATGGAGTAAGAAATCTTTTGAATTAAAAGTTTACGCTGTGAATATTCAGTTAAGCGCTGTCCCGTACAAAAGTTCCGACCTGAGGTCGTTCTTTATCTTTATTAAAAAGTAACGATCTCTTTTAATCCTGAAATTTGTCCAGCCAAGGAGAGTCGAAGTGACCCAGACTCTGCACTAAACTCTGAAGCTGAGGATGTGCTTTCTGACAAGGAATCCAGGAAATCCTCCAGTAAACTATCCAAGAAATCCAGCAAGAAAACCAAACGTTAATTACTCTCCAGCCAGTTGATCAGGGCACGGAAAAGTTTGGAGGGTCTGATCATATTTCAATAATGTTCTTTCAATATATGTTTTTTTCAGCAAAATAATAAGTACAAAATGTCGACTTAATGTGTCTAATGTCATCAAAGATTTACAACAGTTTTCTTTAAAAGCTTGTTTGATAGAGATATCTCTGTTTTTGTTTTAATAACTTGGGCTAGCCTTATTTCTAAAAAGCGAATTTTTAAACCATATATGAGTGGAAAACGACATAAGTCTTATTTTGTATAAATAAATTGTCGAGTTTTCTGACATTGTAATTGAGAGAAAAGTTTATAATGAGTAGTTTTGCACTATTTAATTGTGTTACATTAAAATTCCTTTAAACATAAAATTATTGGTGTGTCTCTATGTAATTGTTTTATGACAAATCAGGGGTTCTTTCAGACACTCTTAGGCCAGAAGTATTTCATTTTATTAGTTGTAAATAAAGTCTCAGTAATAAACAGTTATGTTACTTGATAGTAATTGTTGTTTTCTAAACACCGTTTTAAATTTGGATTTAAAATGATGTAAAATATGCTTCATTGTTTAATGTACAAAGTAATAATTGTATTTTTCAGACAAAATGATTTTGAATGAGAACTGAACCCGTAATCGAGAAGAATCTAGAAAATGGATGAAAGTACGTTGTGCTGTCTTCACTGCAATGAAGTATTCACCACGAAGAGTTCTCTAACGGAGCACTTCAGGGAACTACACGCGGTAAAATATTCTTCTCTTTAAAGGGAGTCTTCGCGAATAGTCAAAACGTAAAATTATGATAAAATAATGGATAAACGGGAGTTATCATTATTTTATGCCGAATGGTTCTTTAATTAGTTACTATGGTTTTGTTGACACCCTGCAACCAGTCCACCAGGAACGTAGTCAACCAAAACGAGAAACATGGTTATCCCTTATTTATATAGATTTCACTTGGCATAAAAATCGGATAGAAATAGAAATTTAATTAGCGCTTGTCAATTATTATCTAATGTTCACCATATTTCATTTAACGATCACTCCTTTTAATTTTGAATCTTCAAATTTATTTTAATTTTGTTCATTCTATGTCAGGCTGATGTACCAAGAAGAAAAATTGCCCGCTATCTCTGCGACTTTTGCCCAAAGCACTTTGCAGATTCCTGGACTGCGAAACATCACAAGAAAACTGTTCATTTATCAGTTCGAGAACACTCATGTGATACATGCAAGAAAGCATTTTTATCCAAGAAGGATTTAAGAAGACACATAAAGGGTGTTCATGAGAAGCAGAGAATTATTTATCCTGGGCAGAAAACTAAAGGAAATCATTTCTTTTGATATTTCTAAATCTTCAACACGTTCTAAAATCTAATAAGAAACATTAACATTTCTGATATTGGTAACTTGAGATATGAACAATTCGGAGAACTATAAATCAATAAATATATTAGCCAAGAATACAAATATTCAGTTCACAAGTGCAGATTACATAATAGGGTATTAGAAAAGATCAAAATACCATCCATTATTATCTTTTTATTTTAATTTAAGAAAGCAAGTGTCTGAAAAATATAATTCAAAAAGTTTAACAATTGGATTCCACAAAATTTATTATAGAAATTATTAGAATTCAGCCAAAATTCTAAAAATTATAGAAATTATTAAAATTCAGCCAAAATTCTAAAAATTAAAGAAATTTTTAAAATTCAGCCAAAATTCTAAAAATTATAGAAATCATTAAAATTCAGCCAAAATTCTAAAAATTAAAGAAATTATTAAAATTCAGCCAAAATTCTAAAAATTATAGAAATTATTAAAATTCAGCCAAAAATCTAAAAATTTCTAATTTTTTATCTTCTTCAAAGTTTGGAAAAATGATCATGTTTGATCAGGAAAGAAACAAGATAAGTTGCTTCGCCAGAACCATCTCGTTGATGCTGAGTCTGAAGATGGACCGGAGGACGGTGGGGAACAGGAGCAGGTGGAAGACGACGGAGGAGAACCGGATCAAACCAGACTAGGAGAACACGGATCAAACCATACTGAGAGCTCCAGCAGGGATCATCAATACACAGAAGAGTTGCTAACTGTAAATAATCATGGTAATTTTCTTTGTAAATATTTATTATCTTCCTCTATACATCTAAAATAATCCTAACATTTCTGCATTGTTGTAAAACTTAAAAAGATCCCACGCCCGTCCCTGGAAGATATTTGTAATAGACTGCTAGATCTCTAAATATTTGTGTTAACAGCTAGTTTATCTCTAGATTTGATAAATACTCCGGGTTCGTTCTCCGGCCAGCTCAACCCATCATCAGATCTACACTCTAAATCCGACCTGGAGTTTATCAGTCCAGAGCTATTTTCGAACCTTCCCCAGATGTTCGCAAATTATAGTAATAATCTATTTTCCGAGGAAGAATCAAGGTACGGACTGAAGTACGAAAGGTAGAAAAATTAAAAATGAAAAGACCACGTAGAGTGATCATCGGGTGCAATTACTAAATGTAATGTGATAAATGATTATGGGGTGGAATCGCAAAATTTAATGTACAATCAATAATTATGGGGTGGATTCACAAAATGTGTGATCGATAAGGTAGAATCACAAGATATAGAGAAATCATATAATGGAATCACAAACTGCTGAGAGATCATAGGGTAGAACCGCTAGGTGTAGAGAAATCATTGAGGGAAATGACAAATTCTGCGTGATCATAGGATAGAATCACAACAATGTAGATTGATCTTAGGGTAGAACCACTACTCACTACAATATAGAGAAATTATTGAGTAGAATGAAAAATTCTGCGTGATCATAGGATAGAATCACAACAATGTAGATTGATCTTAGGGTAGAACCACTACTCACTACTATGTAGAGAAATTATTGAGTAGAATGAAAAACTGCGTGATCATAGGTTGTAATAACAACAATTGAGTGGTCAAATGTAGATATTAGGGTAGAATTATACAAGATATGAGTATATAGATTGGGTGCATGGATATTTTTCATAGTCTAAAGAATCAAAAAATAAAAAACGTAAAAACTAAAATAACGAAAATTTAAAATAATAAAGGCATTTTCTCCAGTTGTACGGGTGCCCGTGTTTCCGTGAATGTATCCCAGACATCTACACCTATCTCGGGACTTCCGGTCAATATTTCCAGGCTCTCATTTCCGGTCAACACGGTAAGCATCCGGTTTTTATTTACTGGCTATCATATCCGTTTCATAAAACTTTGAGCCTCTATTGATTGGCTAACATCCGGTTCAATTAAAAACTAGAAAGTTCTGTGTCAAATTCTTGATGTGAATTTTCAGAAATAGGAAATTTTATGTTTAGATTGAAAGAAGGAGAAGAAAAGGATCTCCATTGAAAATGGTTTCTAGAGAAGCTTTGCTGAACACTAGGTATAGGATTACCATCAGTAGTATAATTAACCTAATCTCCATGTTTTAATTACATCTCTTAATTAATGTGTTTTCAAGCCACCTCCAATTTAATCGACGGTACCCTTCCGCTCGGATTAAAATTAAGGAAGATTTTGTTTATTTTCTGTCTTGTAAAGATTTCATTCCTGTTAATTTCCATTTTTCTTCTCTGTTGCAAAAATCCGCAAGTCACTCATTTTCGCTTGGACAAAAATATAAGAGAATTAAAATCGTCCATGTAACTCTGTGATGGAGAAAGAGGGCCTCCTAGTGAAAAGTAAAAAAACATGGTTAATTTTCATTAGACGACCCAAAGATATTATTTCAGTTTACTTGAACCAGATGACCCGGAGAGGTTTTTTCGGAACGGATCAGTTGATGAGATTGAAGCTGGTTCCAAGGTTGACTTTGATCAGAGGGAAGATCTTGATGCTACTGATGGATATGAGAATGCTAATTCGGATGAGGATGATAGTTCTCAGGATGGATTCAATGATCAGGTACAGTTTGAAATATGATCGGTGTAGTTCCGGGTTCCTCTTAGAACCAATTATGGTCAGGATGCTTTAATTTTAAATTTCAAGTTTGATAAAATCTGCCAATTTGGTTAAAAAATAAGCAAAAATCCACCAATTTAGGGGAAATTTTTCTATTTCAAGTGACCCTCTATGCAAATATGGCAATAGCTGATTTGCAAATGTACCCATAAAACCCTTATTTAATCAAAGATGCTGAGATTCCGTCGTTTTCCTGGCTCGAACACATAGTTATAATAATCCATAATTGATCAGACAACACATTTTTATTGTCAACCTAGAGAGTCACTTGAAATTACGGTTACAATTTCTTTTATGAAAAAATCTGCCAATTTTGAACTTGAGACATGACTTGCCTTTAAACATGAGATTTTTAAATTAATATTTCCACAAGATAAATGTTCAGGTTGGGCCTGTGTTCCAGCTGGAGAACCTGGAGAACCTTCAGCTGGTTCTACCGGAACAAGGAGAACCTCAGATAGTAATCCCGGAAACAGGTTCAACTTTTTAGATCCTAGTGTTAGAACCTTAGTGTTGTATTATGCAGAACTATGGATTGATTTAATTCCTCTTCGACATCCCGTGTTGGCCATACCCTGTAGGGATAAATTGAGGGAACCAGTATTAATCCTTAAATTTGATATTGCCCACATTGGATATCGAGATCATGCGTTGAAGATATTTCAAACAAAAGTTCGGACCAAAGGGAAACTTTATGATGAAAGCTTTTTAAATTCGAATCCGAAAATCCTATGTCGACAACTATATTTTTTTTTCAAATATTTGGACGTAATTGCATTTTAATATAATAAAAACAAGTTACATTCATGATAATAAAAAACATTTAAGCTTTTATCATAGCGTAATTCTGATAATAAATAATTTAGGAATCCGGTTAAAAATCTCTAGAGTAATTCTGATAATAAATAATTTAGGAATCCGGTTAAAAATCTCTAGAGTAATTCTGATAATAAATAATTTAGGAATCCGGTTAAAAATCTCTAGAGTAATTCTGATAATAAATAATTTAGGAATCCGGTTAAAAATCTCTAGCGTAATTCTGATAATAAATAATTTAGGAATCCGGTTAAAAATCTCTGGAAAATCTCGATCTCGCAGCAATGATGCAGATAGCCAAGTTCTAACCATCGTGCCTGGTACATCTGGACAAACGGTAATTTTTCGTAGGAACCAATTAAACAATCTTTCTGTGTTTGTTTTTTGACACTTTTTGAACCTGGAAGATTTACTAACTTTTTGATGAATTATGTGCTTTTGAATGTTGCGGTTGCTTTAACAGAGTTAAACTGCTACCTTTAAGTGGTGTGGGCGTTTCACTTGCAGATCTTTGTTCAGAATTTTTAATGATTACATCAATCAACACTCCTTACAAGCCTAATACTATTCAATGGAAAACCTTTTAAACCATTGGTCGGAATCAATAACTACTTGTCTTTTGTGGTCCAGAAGTAGCTTTATCTAGTTCAACTTCTTAGTATTCATTAAATCCAATCTCAGGTATCAGAGAATTAAATCATTCAAACAATGAAATATTGTAAAAATTACAAAAATAAATTTTCATCACTTTCTAGAAAGAGTGTGAAGAACTCATTGGAGAAGGAGAAGAGAATCTTTATTATATTTCGCCTTATCAGGTTTGTCAAGTTTTTTTAAAGCATAATTAGTTATTTTTTTCAATCAATCATATTTGAAGTTTTATTGCTGAATTGTAGAAAAAAGAACTTTCGGGAAATAATTATCAGAAAGCAGGAAAAAAATTGATTTCTAAGCTTTTCTCCAAATCTTAGAAACACTCCCCCTTTCCTCGTTCAGCTGTCAGCTTCCTTTGTTTAAAATCAAAAACGTATTTCTTTGATATTTTTTACCATCATTTTTATTGAAATACTTTTCAAAAGTTTAATTATCATGAATATTTTTTTTATTTTTTTTTCTCCTTGTTAATTTTTTAATGTGCAGGCGCAAGCATTGGTATTAGAAGGGGAGGGTGAGAAAGAAACCAACCAAGAACTTGAACAAGAACATGATCAGGGAGAGATCGTTCTCAATTCTGATCGTTCAGAATCAATAAACTTTCAATCTGAAAATTCTGGAGATGAGGAAATAATTTCAAAGGTATCCATGGTAGACAGCAATGGTAATCAGAACAATAGTGTCGAATCAGCTGTTTCCGGCGTGCTGGTCTACAAAAAAATGGCGGACAAAAATAAACTCGTGGATTTTACTCATTTTGAGATTAATAATAGAGTTGCCTTACTTAACGAAAGTTCCTCGCTAGAAGTTGATAGAGAAGACTGCCTGCCCGAGATTAGTATAGAGGAGAAGATTGCAAACCTAATTGATGAACGAAGTGGTAGAATTGATCTGAGTAGAGCAGTTTCTTGTGATTTATGTGATCGACGGTTTATCTCCGAGGAGTACTTGAACAAGCACATAAAGGAGCTGCATCCAGCATCACCTAGGGTATGATAGGGGTTTAGGTTTTCCCCACTAAAAAGTATTTTGGGAAAGAAAATAATTTAAAAAAGTAATCTTTTTCGTATTTAAAGCTAATTCTTTTTTTGAGATGTTATTTCCCTCAAATTTTCAATATTATTTTAGTTTATGCTGGAGCTTGACCAGGGACTCATATCAGAGGAGATGTTTGAAGATCTTGGTAAGCAATAATGTTTTTTTATTTTATTTTTTTTTATCTTATTAATTTGTTTTTGTAGTCGAAGTAGCTGAGCCCGCCATGCTTCCAATCAGTGAAGTTCTTGAGACCAAAACAACGTATAAATGTGATCACTGTGAAGAAGAGTTTAAGCTGAAAGGTTTGCTGACGAAACACAAGAAGAACAATCACAATGTCAAGTTAAAGTTTGAGTGTAAACAATGTGAGAAATGCTTTTCATCTGATCAGGTAGATAACCTCCTATACAAACAACAAATTTCAACATAGCTGGATCGAACTGACCCAAATTTTTTGTTGAATCTCTTTTGACTCTAGGGATGGTTTAATACATATAGCCTGTTGGAATTATCAAATGTTTCCTTTAAAAACCTAAAATCCGCAAAAAAAGAGATTAATATTCTGAAATCTCAATCAGATAAAGCTAATATTGTTACCATAACGTATAGTTTTATAGTTTGAACAGCTTTAGTATGATAAAAAAAACCTTTGTCTATCAGTACAAGTATACTGTGAATTGTATTTTGTATATTCTAGAGTTTGAAGCTTCACACAACCTCTGTTCATGACGGAGTGTCCAGTGTTTGTAGAATCTGTCTCAAGCCTGTTATTGATATCAGTAAGTTTTTATTTAAAAAAAAGACTACTGAGACCACTCGACTGATGAAAGATCGTCTTATTTCTAATTCAGCTTGAGCTGTAAACTATGAACATATTCACTAATTCATTGACCAAATAATACCTTTCTCAGAATATATTTTAAAGAGGTTGTCAGCCTGATTTTAAGTGAAACAATTTAAAAAAAGAGAAGCATATCAGATTAAAATGGTTGACACATTTATCTGAGCAACCATGAGAAAGATATTCATTTGTTTGTTTTCATCAGCATCAATGAAGGATATAGACAAACAAATTCTTTTTTAAGGACTGTAGACGTAATTTCAAGTGACCGTCCATTTGTATGGTGACATGTCTAATTGACAAGGATACGAAGGGTACGAACGGTAAAGCATTGACAGATCAAGAATGCACGAAATATCAATCATCTGATCTCTAAAAGTTGATTATTTTCAATTGTATTATAAATTGACTTACATAACTGCATGTAACTTACAATGGAGGGTCACGGTAAAATATGTCGAACGTCTCTGTAAGAAGAGGGTATGGAATGATTTTTCAGGAAAATATATACCCTTTTTTAGCTCGACATATTCGGCTTCAGCACAAAAATACAGAAGAACGTTTTGCTTGTCAACTCTGCCATCTCAGATTCAGGAACAGTCGCATATTTTGTATAATGTATATTTATAAAATCTAGATCGATTTAAAAACTTCAAAGTAATTCATAAATAAACTGATAGCAAACTTTAAAAAAAAAAAACTTAATAAGGGGCAATAAAATTCCATCATGTTCGATCCAAAGATATATGGAATATAAAAACACAGTATTTTTTAAACAAACTATTTACAAATCAGTAAAAACTTTCTAATCTCTGAGTGATTCATAAAGTTAAAGCATTAAGATAAAAAATTAGCTTTTTATTTGCTAAAAAGTTCAGTAAATCTTGAAGAAATATTCCGGACCTGGATCCATTTTTATCAGGGTGGATACAGGATCTGGATCCGCATCAAAATGAAATGAAGTGGATCCTAAGCATCGCAGAATGTATTGTACAAGTTGGTTTAATACATATTCTCTATTCTAATAATTTTGTGGTTTCTGTGTTCAGATTTTGATTTGATGAATTGTAAAAATATTTAAAATTATAAATCTGTAGAACCCTGTTCTCTATGCAACGGCACAAGATGATGGTGCACCTCAAGCTGCGCCCCTACACCTGTGATTATTGTGAAAAATCCTTCGGAAGTAAACGTGATATGGAGAGACACAAGAAATCTCAACATTTTCGAATCAAGGAAAAAGTTTTAATGGTTGAACGGTTTTCACTAGAAAAAAATTTAGATTGGCCTATTTTATGATCCTTTGAATTAAAAATATTAAAAAAAGATAATTTTGAGTTTCATAAGTTTCCTCTATTGAACTTTTTTTCTGCAGAATATTGAACGAAAGGAGTGGACTTGTCCATTATGCAAAATAGCATTTGATAAAAGAAATAAATATGACAGGTAACAAGATTGATTTTAATATTTTCATTCTGATCAAGATTTTTTTGATGTTTTTACTTGAAAACAAGATTATTTTGGGATGTTTTTACGTGGACACAAGATTATTTTGGGATGTTTTTACTTGGATACAAGATTATTTTGGGATGTTTTTACTTGGATATAAGATTATTTTTTGATGTTTTTACTTGAATATAAGATTATTTTTTGATGTTTTTACTTATATATAAGATTATTTTTGAATGTTGTTTTTACTAGGATATAAGATTATTTTTTGATTTTTTTACTTGGATATAAGATTATTTTTTGATGTTTTTACTTGGATATAAGTTTTTTTTGATGTTTTTACTTGGATATAAGATTATTTTTAAATGTTGTTTTTACTTGGATGTTTCTTTAAATAAATAAATAAATAAAAGATCAACCATCATAAAAAATCAAGGCAGAGACCCCCTCAAAAATAACCGCCAAAGGACGGAAATTAATGTATATCCGATTATGCCACAAGTTTAGTGTGATCAAAACATAGGATGATAGGGGTCTAGGCCAGTGACCGAAGTCACCTCCCCACTGCACACAAACGGGTTCTAATTGTATATAATATATATTTTGTGAAAATCCTTATATTTTTTTTATTGTTTTGTATTTCTAGGCATAAGAAGAGTGTTCACAATAACTCAAGTGATCTTGAAATACTTTCCTTTCTCTCTGGCGAGCTCAAGTCACGTGTTATGGAGGTCGTCATTAATTCTTCATCCCTGGATCTCTGATCTTAGTTGGAGGTCGTTTTTGATTCTTCATCCCTGGATCTCAGATCTTAGTTGGAGGTCGTCATTGATTCTTTATCCCAGAATCTCAGATCTTCTTATGTATTCCAGTGAGACCCAAAAGACTGTGGAATTTATAGACGACTGTTATTACTTACTTACAGCCATCAGATCCTCGGGGGGACACAGGCCATCAACAAATCCTTTCAAGGATTAAGCTCGATTACATAAGAAGCCGGCTTTATAATCAACCATTATACTCAAGTTATAATTTAAATATTTCATTTAACATCAAGCACAGTAATTTATTTATAAGTCGATTTTCAAGCTATTTGCTTTATAACACCGTAAAATACACATAAGGTTGCTGAAATGTTGTCTTCCAATTCCACAGTTTTTATGTGTCCGACTGTATAAAATAATTTAAACCAAGCTCTCATTAATTATCAGAACTCTTTATCTCTCTGGCTGTGAAAAATTTTATATTTCAGATAAAATGGGAAAAGAATGAAAGATGAAACGCGAAACGTATGAATTATTAAGGAAGTTAGATGAGATTAAACAGAAATCTGTACTTCAAAATTACGCTATCTTTCTGTCAATCTTTAGTATTAAAGATTATATGGTCTTGGGAAAGCGCAAGAAACTCGCTAACAGGGTTGAAACTCATTAGGGGATACAACTAATACAAAGATGTCTCAGAGCAAAGAAATAAAAGTCTAGAAATAAATTCTGAGATTTAAAAGAAGAGCTTTGACATGACGGACTGCGTAGTTTACTATGAATGGAGCAGCGAGCTTAACGAAAGGTAAACAATCTTAAAGAGACTGTTAACGTAATTTCAAGTTACCCTTCATTGGTATGATTTGCATTTCCGATTCACATTGGTACCCTTTAAACCATTTTCTAATCATCAATGATGGAGTAAATCTTAATTTTATAGCTAAAAAAATGGGAGCCCGGGAACGGGGAATTCGAGTTTATACTGGTATGAAGTGTTTACAGTCAGCTGTCCCTTTGTCATGATAATAATGAGAATATATATAAGGAGGGGTCAAGGGATCTTTAGAATATTTTTTATCAAAGAAACTTTAACTAAGGAGGTTATTCTTATTATTAATAAGAGTATAACTAAGGAGAGGTTAGGGTTTCTTTGGATTTGTTAATATCAATGAGAGTTTAAATAAGGAGGGGTGAGGAAAGTTCTTTGGATTTGTTAATACCAATGAGAGTTTAAATAAGGAGGGGATAGGTAAGTTCTTTGGATTATTTGATATCATTGAAAATAGAAATTGATGGTGCTAGAGATTATTAAAATCATTCAATATCAATATTAGTTCTAACTAAGGCGGGGTTAGGTGTTCTGTGGATTAATTTTTATTAATGAGAATAGAAATAAGGAGGGGTTAGGTGTTCTTTGTATTAATTTATATCAATGAGTAAAAAATAAGGAGGGGTTTCTTTACCGTTAATTCATATCAATAAGAGAAGAACTATGGAGGGAGGGAGGGGATAGGGGTTGTTTTCTAAGGGACTAGTTATACTGTAAACAAAAAACATATTAAAACATGACTCTTAGTACTGAGTAGGACAGGAATAATAATGTAAGGGGCCTGAACAGTGAACACCCCCAGGGATTCCCTTTAAATTGAATTAAATAATATAGGTTGAAGGTACAAATGTTCTGTATGTCCTGCAGAATACAAAAGTGCAGTGGAATTTATATAATATTGTTTGAAGGTACAAATGCTCTGTATGTCCTGCAGAATACAAGAGTACAGTGGAGAGAGATAAACATTATGATAAATCTCACGTTATACCGAGGTAACAACCCTAGCGAACAATGGTGGGCTGGAGGTTGAGCTAAAGATCAAACCCGCCCCCCTTTGCAGATATATATTTTGCCCTCTTGAGATACCCCAGCACAAGGGCGGATACAGGAATTTATTAGGGGTGAGCGAAACTTGTATTTCGTGTAACGAGAATTTTTTTTCTGCTTACCGCTAAAAATTTGTTCTCACCACTAAATACAGGCATAACCAGAAAACTCTGGAATAGGAAGTCGACTTTTAAACTCAAGTTATGACTTTTAATAGCGCATTGAACATGAGACACAGCAATTGTGCAACGTAAACAGACCCATTTTACTTAATGAGTAATTTAATAACTTTTAATTAAAGCTATTTGGTTTAAACAACATCAAATGCATTTCAGAAATGCTAAAATGGCGTCTTCCTATTCTACAGTTTTCTGGTTATGACTGTATAATATATTCATCTATTTGGATTTTGGAATGCAGAATTTTCTTGCAATTTTCGATAGCTCATCCCTAAAAGGGTAAGCGGCTGCTCCATGGCTAACCCCTGTATTCAGCCCTGCCCTAGCAATCAACATTTTTCTTTTTTAAAATTTAAAAACAAAATATCTTTTCTGTCTATGTATTATTTAATTATTTCCCCCCCCCCCCTCTTTAGTCATTTTTTGTTAATATTGTTGTACTTTTATTCTTCCTTAATTAACTTTTTAAATTTTTTCTTTCATAATTTTTTCTTTAATATTGATAAAGTAGAATTATCTAAAAATATTTGTTTATCTAATTCTAATTCGAATTCTAAAGGTCTTGAAGTTTCCAAATTTGTAATGAACCTCTAAATACTCCTTGAATATATTATTTTGGTTTAGGCCGCAATGTGAAATGTGCAATAAAGAGTTTCCTAACGAACTTGCATTAGAGAAACATTTAGGAAAGCAACCATTGAATACATTTTTTGTCTGTTGAATTGTGCCAATTATTTGAACAATTATTTGTGTACGTTTACGAAAATAAAAAAAGAAGAATGAATAATAATAATGATAATAATAATAATAATAAATTTTTTCCATGCAGGAATATGACAGACATTTAAAGTTTAGTTTCCAGGGCTAGAAATATCATTTTCTTTTTATAGAAACACCTGTTTCCAGGGGCGTATTAAAGAATTTGTCCAAAGGGGGCTTAATTTTTTTTTAAAGGGGAGGGCTCATTAGCCGTTGGGGTCCAAAAACCCCCCGAAAACCATAGATTGCACTGAGGGGTGGGGGGGGGGCTAAGGCTTCACATCCCTCCCTGAATGCACCTTTGCTTTTTTCACTTGAATTTGGGCTTCACTTGAATATTTAATCCCCATATCTACAGGTTGTTTTTCCCTCTTCCAACTCCCTAGATCAACTAATTCCGTTAGCACCCTAATTTCTTTTTATTTAAAGATAAGTTTGCTAAAACATTGTAGATATAAAACATTTGGATAAAGCGGAGAAATATACAAAAGAGTGTCCAACCTGTCATGCTAGAGTTCAGAAGGTAATATTTCAAAAGTTTATAAATTATAATTTAGATATAAGCTTAATCATTCAATTTTACCTTTTTATCAAAATTATATTTCTCAGATAATCTTTTACGCAAGAAACTTTAAAGTTTTGTTCAGAATTTTGTTAATACATCCCTTTAAAAATCTACAGAGCTGGGAACTTTTGAATGGTGGATATCGGGATTAATGCTTGATCCATTCTTTTTCTTAATCTCGAGATTAAATAATGCTTGTTCTCCTCTTGCTATAATTCTCCAGATGAATTAACCGATCGTGATTAAGGATATCCCATTCTAAAGTTTTCAGCTCAGGACACATTGTCAAAAGAAGTAAAAAATCGATTTAAAAGTTAAGCGAAGGCGACATTGGTTGTAACGGGATACATCTACATTTTCTGAATCAATACTTGAATTGGTTCTGGATCTGATTTTTTAGTTTGATATTGATTTAGCTTAGTGTTTTAAGTATGGGAGATAAAAGTCTGATTTTATTTGACTTCATTTTATTTAATTTTATATTCTTTGACTTAATGTGAATTGAAATTTTTTGACTGAATTTGATTTTGATGATGATTCTTATGATGATTCTGATGATAATTCTGATGATAATTCTGATGATGATTTTGATGATACATCTGAATTCTAATGATGATAATGATTTTGATGATGATTCTGATGATGATTTTGATGATGATTCTGATGATAATTCTGATAATAATTTTGATGATAATTCTGAGGATAATTCTGATGATAATTCTGATGATAAGTCTGATGATGATTTTGATGATGGTTTTGAATTCTGATGATGATTCTGAATTCTAATGATGATAATGATTTTGATGATGATTCTGATGATAATTCTGATGATAATTCTAATGATAATTTTGATGATAATTTTGATGATAATTCTGATGATAATTCTGATGATAATTCTGATGATAATTCTGATGATAATTCTGATGATGATTCTGATGATGATTCTGATGATAATTCTGATGATGATTCTGATGATGATTCTGATGATGATTCTGATGATAATTCTGATGATGATTTTGATGATGATTCTGAATTCTAATGATGATAATAATTTTGATGATGATTCTGATGATGATTTTCATGATGATTTTCATGATTAATTTAGTGATGATTATGATGATTATAATATTGATTTTGATTTGTTCAGTTAAGTTCGCATATCCGTCAGAAACATGAAAATATCCACAAGCTAGACCTTTACGGAGGAATCTGTCCGCACTGTAATAAACTCTTCAGTAACGATTACAAGGTTAAGAGGCATATTACACAAGGTAATTAAATCTGCATAACTTTTAATGATCTAGGCCAGGCACACAACAAATTTAGGTTTTAAGTTTCACTGAAAATTACCCCCAAAGTTTTTTTTGGGAAATTTATCCTTTATTTTATCAAGCAAGATACATGTTTTTAATCATGATATTTTGCATATCAATGAAAATATAATCCAAAGAGATAAATGTTAGATAACCAACTCTCATTAGAATAAAAAAAATATTTGGGTTTACTTTCTTAATTTTTATGTAAACCCAATGGATTTCATTACTACCGCCTTTTTGCAGTTTTCAGTCCTGGCAAACTAGGATCCTTTTAGGTCAACATTTTAAACCCCATTTTCTCAAAAACGGCTACTCTTCTTTGTTTCAAACATGTTGTGAAATCGGCTACTTCTATACTTTCAATTTCAAAAAAAAAATGTGGGGGTAATTTTCAGTAAAACTTAAAACCTAAATTTGTCATGTGTGCACCCCCGTACTCACCAGAGTATACGATCCTAACAGACCCCTAACGTAAGCTCACATCTCATTATCTCTGGGAATGCTGACGGGTTGAGCCACTCGTTTTTTATAAGGGCACTTTGATTTCAAATAAGGCATAAATAGTTGTGCAGCCTAAGAGGCACTGCGTTTGATTTAATTCCTCCCAGAAAGTACAGTACACTAAGATCCTTGAGTAAATTCAAATATTTCTTTGATATTTTTATATTGTTTTGGATCAATTAATTAAATAATTGAATATTGATTTAGTTCATGAGAATATCCGCCCCTTCACCTGTATTGAGTGTGAGAAATCATTTCTGGATAAGAAGGATTTAAGAAGACATGTTAGAGGTTAGATTAAATCTTTTATTTTGATATTTTCTACGCAATAGACCTGTCTCTTGAAAGGACTAGGGTGGGCGTAATTTGAGGTGACTCTCCCACTTATAGAATTCGATGAAAAATGTGTGGACTGTTGAATTCTGTAAATTTACTTTTTTGTCTTTTCTGCTTAAATCAGAAAGTCATTTTTAACCAAGAAACTACAATTTATAATTTAATGCTTCACTTTGATTTGAATTGAATTGACAGCCCCATTAAATGATAAAATTAAAACTTAAGCATTAGTTTTTTATCCAGGTTTTTGTTCAGATATTTTAAGCGCTATCATATAAATGTTTAGGTGTGCATTTTGGTGAAAAAGTGAATAAATGGAGAAGAAAAAGCAGTAGCTCCGAATCTACTCATATTGTGAAGAAACAGTTTAACCTAACAGAGGGTCTCCTCGGTGGACCGGAGAAATATTTACCAACCCTAGACACTACAGCCGGTACATTCGGGTCAACGGGAATATACTTCTCCGCGGACAGCCTCGGTCCTTTAGTTCAAACCCAGCCTCCAGACGTCCTTGTAGCAGAGGAGGAGCCTCCAGAGGTTCTTGTAACGGAAATGGATTTACCTGGAATATTTATTACCGAGGTTGTTTCACTACCTGAGCCCTCCGACAATACTGAGGTCGTAGCTGAGAAAGATGAGGATGGGTCTCCGAGATCTCTTTCTAAGCAGTATGATGAATATACAGTTCTAGTGAGTGAAGACCATCCATCCCTTGATGAGAGACTGGACGAGGATCCAGGGGTTAGTGACGAGGAACCTTGTCAGAATATCTCTGATATATCTCTATTAGCAAACTATAAACTCTCTCTCCGGAACTGTTTGGTGACACGGGATACTGTTGAGACGGAAACAAACCAGGTTTCAGCAACCACTGGGAAACCGTCAACCCTGAGTTTAAGAATATCTGCTCTCAAAACCGGATCCCAACCTGAACCTGGAAACCAGGAGAAATCTCTAGTTTCCAGTTTAGAGCTCACTCCTTCATGTATAGAATTCTACCGGGAGCAGATTACTCCGGGTTCAGTGATCACCTCACAATCAGAGGAAACCCTGTCACAGCTCACTCAACCCGATGTTTTCTCCCAAAATTCACAAATATTTATTCTTCAAAATATTGAAGAAACCCCTCCTGGGGATATCTCCACATGCTCTGAAATACAGATTGAAACAAGAAGTAGAACTGACATATTTAAAACTAGCAATGAAGATTCAACAGAGGAAAGAAGAGGTAATGTTTCCACGCCTATTTCAAAGTTATCTTTTCCCCTAATTTCCAAGCATCTCTTCTTTTGGAAAGGAAATTTTTGTGTGTTTAAAAAAATTTAACGAAAATGCATGAAAGTTTTAAATCATTAACAAAATGTCTTCTTTTTCCACATTCAGGGACTCAGGGACATTTTCAAATTTGTTATTTTTGCAGTTGTTGATGTTGATGTAGAAGAAGCCGATGAGATGGATAGGTTTGATATATTACCCTCTCAGCAACTCAACGGGAATGAAGCTGAGATTCATCCGGAAGAAACTCAGCCTTTGACAAACATAAGGAATTTAAAACTCAAAAATACTTTTATTCGTTAAAAAGGGATTTTTTTATCAATGTGAAACGATTAAAAGATTTGGATATTTGATTATTAAATAATATTGGTCCGTTTTTTGGAATGAAGCAATTGGAAATAAATTGAAAATCATTCGACACCGATTTTAGAAATGATATTCAAAAAATTCTATCAGAATTAGGACTTAGGATATACGAGTTTTTGTTGTCCTAACTTTTTTTTCGGAATGAGAAAAACTACCAACAGTTGTAGAGTTGTTGCTATTGTTATTGTTAAAATAATACATTTTTTTCTCGTGTCACAATTCTATGAGATTTTTAGGATGAGATACTGGATTGAAAAGTAAGTGTTTAAAAGTTTGAGAATACGGAATGGACTTTAATGCAGAATATTTTGCTGAAAAATCTAATCATGAATTTTAATTAAGTAAACAATAAATATTTTTTGTTTTTTTTTCAATATTGAGTTTTTTATGTTCAGTATCCGTGATCAGGGATGTACTGTTTATAGAGCAGGGGAAGATCTTGTTTATAGTTCAGAGGAACTTGGAGATAGGAAAACATATAGGAAAGAGATGGGTTTAAAAATTATTTAAAGGGATTGTTATCCTAGTTTTCGGTAAACCTATAGTCTTTTTAAAAGTGCCATCAGCATTTGTCATTTAGCTATGTAGCAATTGTAAAGATATTACTATGATCTTTACAAGATTGTAAAGATATGCGATATTACTGATATTCTTTCCGGAAAATTATACTTGTTCACTTGTTCAGGTTTTCTATCATGTTTGCAATAACTAGCATGGTTTCTCTTGTGCAATGTGAAACTTTGAATGTCCAGGGTTTTTCATTTATAATTTAAACATAATATTATGTTTTTTCAATTATAATTTAAACAAAATATTGCGTTTTTTATTTATAATTTGAACAAAATATTACGTTTTTTTTTAATTTTAATTTAAACAAAATATTACGTTTTTTCAATAATAATGTAAACAAAATATTACGTTTTTGATTTATAATTTGAACAAAATATTACGTTTTTTCATCGTTAAATATATAGTTGATTTGTTTGTAGCTCAAGTTTATGTCAATTATATTCAGGAATAGAATTATTTTTTTTTCTGAAAGGCATGAATTAGAAATGTTATTTTTGGTACTAACCACAGTGAATTGTAATTTGAGAACCGTTATATTTTGTTTTGAAGTGATTTTGTTTTTTATTGGCGTAAAAAATTTGGCCGAGATTGCTAAGAATGTTCTTATTTACAGTCTGTTAGAACCTGTCACTGATAGTAAACGATATAGTGTGAGAGAAAAAGATGGCTGCCGTCGGAAATATTTCCAGCATATTGAGCATCAGGAGAATCAAGATGATTTCAGATATAAACTCTCACGCTCTAGGGTTGACAGCACAGGTAAATAATTAGGGTTGTATATTTTTTCTTAAAAGTCTAGACTGGAATTATAACATTTTTTGGCCAACATTGTTTAACTTTGTTGTTCGTTGTTAATTTGCCTTTTCTTTTACCTCATGTAAACATACACAATACACATTCAAGCTGTGCTGGATAAGAAATAAGAAACATTTAAGGTGGCCCTTAGTGGTCGTCCTCAGAGTAAGTAACCAAATAATCCATGTGGTTTTGGATGCTAAGATGCATTATTTGTTTGAAGCAGGGTTTCTCCTAGAACTGGTAGATGTTCCTTAAACTAGTATTTTTTTTGCTAAAAATTGTCAGATTTTTCCAATTATAAAGTTGACAGGTTAGGCTGACTAACCCAAGTTGGTTCTGGTTACCGGCGTCTTAATTACAGATCCCTGTCAAGTGCTAATAACTAATGCTTCGTCTTATGTTATGGGTTTGATTTTTGTATTTTTTCCTGCAGGTGATATTGTGCTTGAGCTTGTAGAGAAAGCTGACCTACATCAGTCTAAAGAAACTACAGCTGAAGATTCCCACTGTACTACCACAACCAACCAGTCTGTGCTAGATAATCAAACAACCAAATATGTTACTGTCAGGTATTAATATTTAATGTGGTTTTTTTGCCTCACAAAGTAGTCCTGTTATTAATTAAACCCTAAAACTCGGTACACAATCCTCATCGAATCGAAATTTTGTGTTTTTAGATAAATCAGTTTTTTTAAAAAGCTCATTGTTTAGATGGGGAGAAGATGTGAGCTCTCCTGTTATATTATCAAGATATCCTTTTCCATCAGTAGATGGTCGTCTTCCAGAGATTCTCTTCAGTGAGACAACAGAGGAAACCCAGGTAGTAAAATTATCTATTCTTTTCAGTATATGGTCGTCTTCCAGACAGAGATTCTGCTCATTAAGATAAAAAAGGAAACCCAGGTCGTAATATTTTCTTTGCCCTTCTGTAGATATTCGTTTTCCAGAGATTCTGTTCATTGAGACAAAAGTAGGGAACCCAGGTAGTAACATTTTCCCTTTCCTTCAGTAGATGGTCGTCTACCAGAGATTCTGTTCAGTGACACAACAGAGGAAACCAAGGTAGTAACTTTTACCATTCTTTTCAGTAGATTGACGTCTTCCAGAGATTTTCTTCAGTGAGTCAACAGAGGAAACCCATGTAGTAATATTATCTATTCCCTTCAGTAGATCGTCGTCTTCCAGAGATTCTTTTCAGTAAGACAACACAGGAAACCCAGGTAAGTAACATTATCCCTTTCCATCAGTAGATGGTCGACTTCCAGAGATTCTCTTTAGTGAGACAACAGAAGAAATCCAGGTAGTAATATCATCCATTCCCTTAAGTAGATGGTCGTCTACCAAAGATTTATTGAAAACAATTATAATATTTGTATATCTTTAAGGAAAACTCTGAGACCTGTTCTGAAAACCCTGGTAAGAAGGCAGAGGAATCTGCTCCAGAGGATATTGAAGGCTGTGTGGAGGAGAAACAACAGGTTGATAACGACGGGGTCCTTATGATAGATGATGACGAGGACCATGCTGGGGTTGAGTACGATCCCATGGATGCTCGGACCTTGACTACTAAGAAGATCAAGATGAATATCCCGGACCCCCAGGAGTCAGAGGAGAATACAGTGGTCTGTCCTGAGGAGACTTGTAGTAGAGTTTTCAAGGGGAAATCATACAAGTAAGGATTCATTTTCTCTTGAGGTGCTTACCCTACAATAGTTGGTTCTTTTTGTCCAATCAAACAAATATGTTAATTTTGTCCAATCAATCATATATTTAAAGTGTCCATCCAAACATATATTAATTCATATTCAAATTTCCTTGAAAATATTTATCCGTTTTAAAGTGATTGGATCCTAAGACATTTTTTCTTTGAGGTTGCAATATCAGAGACATTACGAGCGGGTTCATCTACAAGTAAAGAAGCATGTTTGTAAATACTGTTCATTCAGGTAGAAAACTTGTTTACATAGAATGAAAACAATTGATTTTTATTCTAGATGGAAATTTTTATATTCTTTAAAAATGATCAATATTTAGTCCACAAAAAATATCACCTTCTAACTTTAACGGAAATTATTGGTACATACAATAAAATCCACAAAACTGGAATAGGAAGACGACATTTAATCAATTGCTTGCGTATTAATTGTTTATATAAAGCAAATAGTTGTACCATAGCTAAGTTTCACGTTCATCAACAAACAAATTCTATGAAAAACTTATTAATATTTAGATTCTACTGAGTATTTCAATATTTAGATTCTACTGAGTATTTCAATATTTAGATTCTACGGAGTATTTCAATATTTAGATCCTACGGAGTATTTCAATATTTAGGTTCTACGGAAAGAATGATTTTATTCGTCACTGTGAATCTGTGCATAGGAAGATTAAGAGTCTTTGTCCAATAGGTAGGATTAATGATCAATGATAAAAATGGATTTATAATGATATTATTGAAAATTAAGCTGATATTAGTTTAAATTCTTATTATTTAATAATCTTGCAAATCATGATTTAGGTTTTTTGAGTCATTAGATTAATAAATGGTTTCAATGTGTACTGTAAACGCCTCTCTTATTGATTATATTTATGGTTGCATTAAACCTATTTTTGACTTGATCTTCTAGTTATGTACTCAGTAGGTGTCCTGTAGCGTACAATGCTCACTATAAACCACTCTCTGGGTATGATTGTAAATTGAACCATTCAGTGGATGTGGCTCGTCTAGATCATAAAGTTATGTACTAAAGTACTCTTTGTACATTGTGTAGTATGAACAGTACAGTGTACACTAGCGTGCTATGTTCTCTTTATCCCCCTCTATGTGTTTAGATGGGTGTAATAAACCTGTTGTTCGATTAGATCTTCATATTAAACAAGTTCACTCGCAGACAAATAAAGTTAGTAAAGATAAGGTAAAAATAATATTTTGATCCTTAAAAAGAGAATTAACCAAAGCTATTTTAATATTTTTCCTGTCGTTTATAATTTCCTAACTCAGCAGTCCGCATGTTTAAAAGGCAAAATCGTAATAGAAAGGAATTCAAAAAGTTTCTATATTAATAATTCTATATTTTCTCTCCTCTTCAAAAAAATCCTTTCAAATTATTTGCTCGGAGTATTTTTTTATGTTAACATTATGTCAATTTTATATGTTATAGGAGGACAACACTTGTACTGAGTGTAACCAAGTGTTTAATAGAGTTTATGATATGATAAGACACAGAGAAACCGTACATTTAGGTAATATACACCAATTCAAAAACATGAAGTAAAACTTGAAATTATAGATCACCCTGTAAAGAACCAATCTTTGGCTGGGTTAGCTTTTTTCTGTTTCTTCTTGTCATCACTTTCAGATTGTGACTTTGTCTTGTTAACTTGTTAGAAAGTACATCGTTATGACGTAACCCGGTTAGATCAAGTCAACACTGTTCCAAGGTTCCAAGCTGTCAAACAAAAAGCGTCGAGAATTTTGCCAATTACTTCTTAAAAACCAGAGCTGAAAACAAGAGCCACTAGTGCTAAAATATGCATATATATAAAGGGCTACAGAAAAGCATAAGTGAGTTAGAGCGGTAAAATCAAAGCCCAAGGCGTTGCGACACTTCAAAGTCGTCCCTGTCTAATGAATTGATAAAACTTTCTACCAGCAGGCTAAATTTATGTGTCATGGAGTCCGTGGGAAATTTCTAGCTACTTAAATTTAATTAAATCCGACGAACATGGTTGATACATTTTGGAAATATTTGAAGATTTTCCAAATCAAAAACCACTTTGTTTGTCCAATAAGAGATTGTAAAAAATATAAATGAGCGGGTTTTCACGAATTACGCACTTAATCTCTTCAAACTAGAAGCTTCCGTTGTGGGGAAATGGCTCAGTAACATTATGTCTAGTTCCCGAATGCCTAATTCGTGAATGCCTAGTTCACTATGCCTAGTTCATGAATGACTAGACAACATTATGCCTAGATTTCTGAATGCCTAGATAATATCATGCCTAGATTTTTGAATGCCTAGTTCATAATGCCTAGATAACATAATGCCTAGAAAACACAATGCCTAGATTCATGAATGCCTGGATAACAGTATGCCTAGATAACATAAGAGTGCATTGTATGCCTAGACAATTTGAAATACATTGTCTAGGCATTCAATAAAAATATTAAAGAGAGAGAAAAAACATACAATCCGGTAACATTTTAACAAAAATCCGCAAACCAACAACAACAACCAACACTGGAAGAAAACAGAGGTCCCTAGATGCAAGAGAAAGATTAAAGTTTGTTGTTGATGCTTTTGACAGCATGCAAAGAGCAGATTATATTTCTACTTTATAAAATATGTAATAAATCATGTAAACATATTAGTATCATTTATTTATTGCTTGACAATGTCTATGGGCATTCAATTCAGTCTAATGTTATCTAGGCATTCAGAAATATAGGCATAAAGTTATATAGGCATTCATGAATCTAGGCATGGTGTTATCTAGGCATTACGAACTAGGCATTCATGAATCTAGGCATAGTGAACTAGGCATAATGTTACTGAGCCATATTGAGTCCAGGCATTGTAGTTAAGCACTTTATAACACAAAAGTTCCAACCTTTGATCTTTTGATATCTATCATTTAAATTCTATTTTGTGCTTTTCTTTTCGGTTTTTTTATTATTTGATGTTTTTATATTTAAATCCATTCTGGTTTTTGTTCTAGGTTGGAAGAAGTTTAAATGTATCGAATGTGCGCGTGGGTTTATCGATAAACGTGATTTGATCAGGCATCATGACGCTGTTCATCTCAAGATTAAAAAACAGGTAGATCATTTTATTTTTAAAAGAAAACTTAATCTAACTTATTTTATTGATAAGGTTAATTTAGGTTCGTTAAATAAAAGAAATTTAGTAACAATTTTAAATAGAAATTCAGAATAGAAAGGGACAGTCATTTTATTTTCCAGGGATCATCTATTAAGAGGGGTATGCTCTTTTCGCAACTATACATAACGTTTAATCCGTTATCTCGTCAATAATCTTGAAAAGTAAACAATTCTAAAACATTCCTTTTTTGTTTCTCTAGCAGAAATCCGCAAGTCTCCAAAATAGATCGAGAAACCACAATTGAAAATAATCATGAAAGTTTAAAGAATGCATATCTCCTTCTTGAACAATCTAAGTTTTTAAATTGTAAATCGGACATGCAAATCTGTTAAATGGAGTGACACTTGACAACTTATGTTTTCAGTTCCTGAACTAATTTTAAAAGTAGAATATATTTATAGTTCTCCTCAAATCTATTTAATTATAATGTTTTTTATTATTATTGAAATAAGGTGGAAAAAAACATTCAAAACAGCCAAGAGCTATTTCCGACCTAATTGCCACCTAATTGCTTTATACTTTTACTGTTAATATAATCATCAATTTGTAATTTTAAATTTGTTCTATACACAGATACATGTATTTTAGCAGTACACTTTACCTAACTGTATCTATCTATTTACCTAAAATCCTAATTTAAATTTCAAGTAATAACTACAAATGAATGAAACTATACCGGGACAAAATTTCGATTCTTTCCTTTTAATTCCGGTATATAATTAGTTATTATCTAATTTGTTTTATCAGTATTGGAGTAGGTTTTGTTGTAAAAAGACGACATTCTTTGGAATGTATAATCTATCCAAAGAAATTTAAAAAATAAACTTATAAATTTCAGACTAGACGTTACTCCTGTCCAACCTGTAACAAGAAATATCGTTTAAAGAAGGATTTGGTTGAGCACTGTTCCAGTCAATCCTGTAGCAAACAGAATACTGTACCTTCTAATACAAAGATATAAATCAACCCTCCAGGATTAATTTGGTTGAGCACTGTTCCAGTCAATCCTGTAGCAAACAGGATACTGTACCTTCATAACACAAAGATATAAATCAACCCTCCAGGATTAATTTGGTTGAGCACTGTTCCAGTCAATCCTGTAGCAAACAGGATACTGTACCTTCATAATACAAAGATATAAATCAACCCTCCAGGATTAATTTGGTTGAGCACTGTTCCAATCAATCCTGTAGCAAACAGGATACTGTACCTTCATAATACAAAGATATAAATCAACGCTCCAGGATTAATTTGGTTGATCACTGTTCCAGTCAATCCTGTAGCAAACAGGACACTGTACCTTCATAATACAAAGATATAAATCAACGCTCCAGGATTAATTTGGTTGAGCACTGTTCCAATCAATCCTGTAGCAAACAGGATACTATACCTTCATAATACAAAGATATAAATCAACGCTCCAGGATTAATTTGGTTGAGCACTGTTCCAATCAATCCTGTAGCAAACAGGATACTGTACCTTCATAACACATAGATAAAAAACAATCCTACAGGATCAATTTAAAGAGCTTAATAATATTTATGATCATTACATATTTTTTTAAGATCTAGTCAATCTCTGGTTTTAATTATGATTTACATATGGCGAACCACATCATATAGGTTATTTAGAAAAATATAGCTTTTTGTTAATTTGGAAACTTCGATATGTGGCTTAAACTGTTTAAACTGGTGAAATAATAGGTTTCCGTGGAAAATTTAATTCAAAGACCCTCAAATAAAACGGGAATTTACAGTGGAAAATTGTAAAAGTTTCATGAGACAAAAAAATGATTTAATTTCAAATTTCATTCTATTTTAAGTTTCCCACTTATATATATATATCCTCTCCTTTTATTAAATACCGCAATCATGAATTAATGAATTTATCTATCTATGTATTTGCGTATAATGCTGGTTTGTTAGAATAGATATATAATATATATTGAGGGAGATATTAGTTCCAAAACTAACACTGAGCCCAGAATAAAAATCGAAAATAAAAATTATAACCAACAATTTATTAAGCATGGCGAGAAAAACAATTCACAATTTAAAAAAATTTTTAAATAAAATTATAATAGGAGTTCTTATTATATTAAATCTCTTGACCGTTTTCAAGACAATGTCAGGTTTTCAATTTTTGAACATATCCTAAATTTGAAACATTGTCGCGTTATCTAGACAAAACCCACTTTCCCGTTTTTGTGTATAATCCGCCTTTCAGAAAAAAGCTCACTTTCATAACTTACAAAATAAATCAGTAAAAACAAAAATTATCTTCTGAAGGCTAAATTGACTTCTAAATTATTTCCAGAATCTAAGTTTCCACATTTTTTCTGTTAAATTAGAGAATATGGATGATTTATTCTCAAGCGTTTTAAACAAACAGTTTCCCGCATTTCTAGTTAAATCTATATTGTAAAAACAATTATTAACATTTTGATTACTCAATGCTGTAATGATTTTTAAATTATATAAGAACTGTTTGTTTTATTCTCTAATTTGTTTATATTATCAAAAATCTTGTTTTGTTATATAAGTGTGTAAATGCTTAAAAATTGACATTGATATAAATTCGAGTAATTGTCTCAAAATCAAGATATGTTCCGAAAACGCGACATGAGCTGAAATCCGGTAATTGTTTCAAAATAGGGATATGTTCGAAAATGAAATCAAGAATCATCAAAAACTAATTCTGACACCTTATTATTAGTTTAAAATTGACATTTATTGTTTCAAAATATAGTTTTAGCCATTTTTATAAATAAATGGTGTAGTTTTGTTCTACTTGTCTTGGATTTATAGATATATACTCTTGAAAAAGATAACTTTGCAGATTTGGCCCATTTCTAACGCTCAGTGTTAGGAGTGTTAGAAATAGGCCAAGTGTTTGTTTTGGAACTAATATCCCCTGTATTGTAAATGATCTTAGCATTATAAATATTTGGATTAGTTTCAGTAATCGAAATGCAACCTATTTCTTAAGCATTATAGAGCTTGATAAAAAACAGTTAAGTCTTCTATACAATTTTTGTCCTTATATAAAGTTGTTCTATCAAAAACTCTTTAAAAATTTATGTTTTATATTTAAAGATTGGCTATGCAAGTGATAATCTACTTGATATCATTAAAGAAACTGAACTACAAAATCATTAGTGCTAGTCAGATAACATTTTTGTTTGTAGTTCAGTTTCTTTATCCTCCTATTGATCTATTCCCAATCAATGAAAAACTACGTTTTCATTGTTCCTAATTTGTTCAAGAGATATCAAAAATGACATTATCCAACTTATTGCCGATTTTTTTTTTAAATGTCTGTATTAACCAAATATCAACCTTCCTCCCATCTATTATTAGATTTCAGCCACTTCTGGAGACGCACCCCCCCCCCCCCCCCGTATTCCGCACCCCTTTACAAATGTGTACTGTGCCTTGTGCACGCCCCTGATAGCTTTTGTCCTTATTATAATTATTCAAACAAATATTCACATAAATCAGCAACAGTTTGAAGTAATTGTCTGTCAATTAAATGTGTTTGTCGGTGTATACGTGTAAACCTTTCGTTTTTGAAGGTCACGTGTCTGCTACGTCACGGTTGGTTGGATCAGCTGTGTTCAGTCAGTAAACTGGTAACCTAAACGCTACAGATAACGCTAGCGTAGTGATAAAATTCATTTTATTTGATAATAATTAACTGTTTTGGATAACACTCAGAGGTGACAACTAGAGGGGGGGGGCCGGGCGCGTGCCATCCACTAGCTCATTCTACAGGGGGGCGCGCCCCCCCTGCAGAATGAAAAGAAAGATTGGCGAATATAATTATCACAGGAGTCAAGAAAAATAAAATCAAAAGAGTTATTGCAGAAATTGTATTAGCTTCTATGGTTAGTTTAAAACAAAATATTTTCATCTTTCTGAATTCTCAAGGCTAAAGTCTATTGTAAACATTTAATGTAAAAAAGTTCCGAACTGTATTCAAACTTTGAAATATCAAAGGTTATATTTGAGTTTGTGGCAAAAACTCAGTTCCAAATCTAGAGAAAATTCCGAGACTGAACCTGGCAAGTTCTAACTGATTATCATATTTTATAACTGTAACCTTTTTATCTTCTTTGAAAGAACTTCTATAAAATTGAAAATGAAATAAGATTATGAATGTTGTTTAGAATGATCAATCATAAATTCAATAACTTCAGGAGAAAACGTAACATTATCTGTCCTTTTTCAATGTAGACGATTAAAATTATATATGTAATTTGATGTTCTTTTGCAGAATATATAAATGATTATTTCTTGTAATTATATCAATAATTAAACAAGGTACTTTGATTGACTCATATCGTTAATTTTACTGTTGTTAAAAGTATAAATTTTTTAAAAAAACTCAAGAAAAAAACCGATTTGAATTGAACACAAACTCGACATCAAACTCTCAAAAAAGCACTTTCATTTTGAAAAAAAATTCTAAAGGGGGGCAAGCCCCCCCCCCCCCCAGAAAAAGTGCTAGTTGCGCCTCTGATAACACTTATTAAGTACAGCCAAACATATTTTCCAATGAAATAAATGTGTTTTCTCTTTTTCTGGCAGAAATAACCTGAAGTTTATATGTTTTCTTGAGGCTGTGAAATATTTCTAATATATAATTATGTTCAAGGGGTAGGAGATAAAGAAGGAAAGAGTGTATTTTTTGGCGTATTAGGACTCTATACTTAATTTATGAAAACAGTAACAAAGATTGTAGTTTTCCTCCAATCATCGTTTACGACAAACGGTTGTTTATTTGCAGTAAAAACCAACCTTTGCCCCTCTCCTTGAGACTTCTTCTATTTTATTGTGATAAAAATCAAAAATTTTATTTTGATAATTTTTCATATATTTATTCATTTCATGTTATCTCCTTTTTTTGCCCATTGTTTTTAATGTTCTCAATTTAATAACATATTACATGATGTTATTTGCATAAATTAGCTTCAGGATGCTAAATCTTTCAAAGCAATAGTCAAATTGCATAAAGGGTGTCGCAATAAGCACGGGAATGAAGGGATGACTTCTATGTCGTCATTGTTCCCCTCGACATTATTTAGTGAACATAAATATAGAATTACTAGTCTCGGAAATTCAATAATGAGGTCTACCATCTTTTCATCTTCAAAAATTGACGGGAATTTGGAGAAATTTCTTCAGATTCTAATTTATGAAATAAAATTAATAGGGTTTAAATATTTAATGATGATCTTTTAGTCGTCTCCTAATTCCCTGTATATAGAAAATCATTAAATTGATTTAAGTTCATAATATTATTTGTGATAATTCATTTCTTTAACTACAGTTGCAGTTTAAGAACCATTGTTGGTCTTGATTTCAAAAAGTTAACTGTCAAATGTTTTATAAGCAATAATCAGTGATGTATAAAAATGTTCATTAAAGGATTGTTCACCTATTTGAAAATTCTACTCAGAATACCCATATTTTCAAGTAGAAACAATCAAACAATCCCAAAACATGTTGAATCCAAGGAAATAAATATTTAATTTCAGAGTGAATATGTTGTGGATATTCTTGGTCTGCGCATGCGCCGTCGTAGAGGTAGTTATCATTTATTAGATGCCAGCACTAAGATTTTTAAATAATCATTTATATCAGGTCATTTAAATTTTTTGTTAAAATGTTATATTCTTTAAAATATCAACAAAAATTCTAAACAAAACTAATTTTAAGATTTAATTGCTCCTTTTTTATTTACTACGAATCTTCCTAAATTTTATGTAATCCAGCAATAATGATACTTTAGAAATCTTTGTTAATTTTTCTAATTTTTTTATTTTTACTAAAATAAGTGTGAATGAGATCTGAAATTTCTGTTTAGGCGCAGCATCAAAATCCTCCAGGGGTTAATCCACAGCAATACCAGCAGGTGCAACAGCCACCACCCCCTCAACAACAATTTCAGGGGCAACCACAACAGTTCCAGGGACAACCACAACAGCAATTCCAGGGCCAGCCACAGCAACATGTCCAAGGGCATCCACAACAGCAGTTTCAAGGTCAACCTCAGCAACAATTTCAGGGTCAGCCCCAACAGCAATTTCAAGGTCAACCACAACAGCAATTCCAGGTAATATAATGAAGTCAATACTGGAAATAATTTCAAAGCATGGTTTCATTTATTTCAGCAAATAAGGTCAAAAAGCAAAAACGGAAATTGTGTTCTCGTATTGTTTTTTTCGCCATCTTGTTAACCGCTATTTAGCTATCAGTCATCTTTCTGTCTGTAATTATTTTGTCAGACGTCTTTTATATGCAATTTTGTTTCCCGCCATATTAATGTCCGCCATCTTGTTATTATCCCTCTTGTTTTGGTTTCCTCCATCTTGTTTTACTCCATCTTGTTTTACTCCATCTTGTTTTCCTCCATCCTGTTTTCCTACAGCTTGTTTTTCTTATTCTTGTTTTTCGCCAAATATTTTCTGCCATCTTGTTTTCGTTATTCTTGTTTTCCTCCATCTTGTTTTACTCCATCTTGTTTTCCTCCATCCTGTTTTCCTACAGCTTGTTTTTCTTATTCTTGATTTCCGCCATATATTTTCTGCCATCTTGTATTTCTCCGCCTTGTTTCCTCCATCTTTTCCTGTCATCTTTTAATCTGCATTTTTTTATTTTCTTTAGGGCCAGCCTCAACAGGTACCTCAACAGCAACAGCCTCGTCAGACTCACAACCATGCTCACGGTGGAAACCAACAGGTTCTACACAAGGACATGAAGCATGAAGCCGAGTAAGTTATTATTTTATTGTCATTATCAACGTCTGTGTAAATTAGGACTTATCTTCTTGATTTAATCTGACCACAGTTTTAATTCTAATTTTGACAACCACTACATTTTAAGATTGTTTCTTATTCATTATTAAAATATATACAACATATATTACATACTAGGCTTTCAGGGCTCTTAGCTCTCCTTTTTTATCGACCATTTTTTTCTTAAAACATTTGCTCTTAAAGTGGCCATTTTGGCGGCGTTTTAAAATTAATAGATACTCATAAACCTTCCATGGGGTCATGTGAATTGCCATTAAAAAATCCCATTTTTAGAATTGAGTCCTAGTAACTATATATACTTTTTAGTATTAGTTTTTAATTTGAAAATTTGGCTCTATCAGTTCAGCGGTTTGACGCTTATTGGATACAGACAAACAGATAAACAAACAGACAATTATTATTAATTACCGGTAACTTATCATATTAATAATATTTGATTTTAGACATATGAAGGAACATATGGAGGTTCCTATTGATACGAGTAATATGTCTGAACAAGAACTTCAGTTCCATTACTTCAAGGAATAATTTAATAATGAATATATTTTTTTCAAGTGGAATTTTAAAATACGCATAAAAGTTAAAACGAGCATTAGTTGAGATTTAAAATTTCAAAATAGCATAAACCATCCTAGTACTAACTTAGTTTTTTTTTTACAGTAAATTTGATGCAAAATTCTTGATTTCGAATAAAAAATCTGTGAGTATTAAATTAAATAAACTGATTAGATGCATGATTCCGACAATAACAATAAGTTGGATGGGTGTGAGCTCGTTAAATCTCTAATTCATTGGCACGGTAAATTATTTATTTAATACAATTTGTATTCTTTCATGTATTGGGGGGAGCTGCAATGGAATACATAGGGAACTTTAGACTATAGGGAATATAGAATAACAGCATTTGTGTACGCACCTGTGGTTCAGGTGTACAGTTTATTGATGAAAATGTGATGATTGATAAAAGTAAAATTTTATATAATCAATTCGTTAATTGTTTGATTTCGTCGATATATGTCAAATATAAATATTCATCTTTTATTACTTTTTTAATACTTTACATAAACCTTATGGAATTAAAGGTACATAATTTCCTTTAAGTTCTCTGACTTTTTTTTATTAAATTTGGTGTTTTGAGACAGGGTTAATTGTTTATTCTTCAATACTGTTTGGTAAAAATATGATTGAAATGTTTATTTTCCGCTCAGTTGATTTTAGCCTGAATACTTGATTGATTGATTGATTGATTGATTGACTGATTAAACATGTTGTTTGTTGATTAACCTTTTGTTCCCTAAATAGATCAATCCAATCATGATCCTAAGTCTGGGGAACCTATTCCTGAAGCTAAAATATTCAAAGATGATGAACTCAAGAATATGATTGATCCTATCCTTGATGCAGATGATAGGAACAGGGACGGATTCATTGATTATCCAGAGTTTGTAGCAGCCCAGCAAGCTGCTTCTAAAGCTCAAGAAGCAGTTGTTTAAGCTGCTGTTCTCATTGCAGCTTTTTATTAGCTGTCCCTTGGTTATGGTCCAAACAGGATAATATTGCACACACATATACACACAGGCAAGATTTACGCACAAATACGCATATTTTATACAATTAGATTATGGAGTTAAAAAAGGCTTGTGTAAAATTCAGTAAAATGAAATTAAAACTATGCAGAATTCAGCCTTGCTATACTAGAATTGCCAGTCATGTGAATTCATTTTTACGCAGACAATTTGCAAGGTTTTTGCAAGTTTTATGCTCCATAACTTAATTGATATTGAAATTTTGCGTAACTAGCCTTTTAATCCTATCCTCTTAATGGTTGAGTGCATGCTAGGTTTTCATCTTCTTTTCAAGGGTATACATTTCTTAGAATTGTTTTTTGGGGGGGGGGGTATACATTTCTTAGAACTGTTAGGGGATATACATTTCCTAGAACTTTGGGGGGGGGGGTGCCAAAAATCGGTGCTTAGGATTTTTAAAAATGTAAAATAAGGATTTGGTCTGATTGACATTTTGAAGATACTCATAAAAATGGAATGGTTTCCAATCCAAGCACCGATGATGGTTCTGCATGCTTATTGCCTGAAGAGTGAACATATAACAAATCAAGATTATTTTGTATTGCTAAATTCTATATTAATAATAAGAAAACAGTTGGTATGAGAATTTAAAAAAAAAACATTGTCATTATGGATTTCAGTGAAAGGCAGGATAAGGAGAATATTTCTTCACAAATAATTAGAGTCGCTTGAAAGTTCAAATCATTTTATTTAATGAGAATTGTTACTTCATGAAGTTATCTCTTGATTCTTTGTTCTTCGATCTAGCATGAATTATATAAGTTTGATTTAAACAGCATTGCTCCGCCCTTCCTCCTTCTGACTCCTTAGGAGAGGGCGTTACATTTTCCCCCACCCCGTGTTCGTGATAAATACTGCTTGTCATTTAAATTAGATTTAATTGCGTCATGATCCCATAATAGAAGATTTCCGCCATTCCTGCTCTTGGAATAGAAAATTTATCGTGTAGTTCTTGTTATTTATTTAGTGAAATAGCATTTTTAGTTCGCTTTATGTTTGTCAGACTTGGAAGGCTTGTTGCCCCCTTCCTTTTTTGATAGCTACAGAAGGGCTCCCCTGGCTCAGTTTTATTTGCCATAATATTTTTGCCATAATTACACTTGACATAATACTTTTACCATAAGTAACACTTGCCATAAGTTACACTTGACATAAGTCACACTTGCCATAAGTTACACTTGCCATAATGGTTACACTTGCTTTAATTACTTTTGTCATAATTTTCTAATTTTTAAAAAGATGTAAATCTGTCTTTTTTATTACAAATGCGGGAAATTTTCCAATGAAAATTCGCAACTTTAGTTTTCTCATTGTTTTAAAACAGAACAGAGCTGAAAACTTTAGAAATGAGATATCCTTAATCCCGATTACTTAATCTGAGTATCCAATGGACACACTTTTGATTTACTTCTTAACCCGTTCTTTCTTGGAAATAGTAGAGAAAAATCAAAAACCGTTTTTTTTTAATTAGAGAGTTCCTTTCATTTCTGTATATAATCTTAAATGGCGCGCAAAATTTCAAATTTATCGGCTTGTATACGCGACTCTGATTGGTTGAATTTTATACACTTTTCAGGATACAAGTACAAGATTAGATTAGTCTCGATATAATGAAAAGAGAGGATCACGCATTAATCTCGATATCCACAATTCTAAAGTTTTCAGCTCAGTTGACACAAGAACATATTTTCTAGAGCTGAAAGAAAGAGCTTGGTGAAGAGTCACTATGAGAGGATTTCTAACATTGTCCTACAGTATAATACTCTTCCCATAGAAGAGTACCTAAACCTGATAGCTCATGAACTGTCTCTGCATTAGATTTTTAATTTGTATTTGTAATTGTAAAAAGTATAAATATATGTTTGTTAATTCAAGTGTAATTATGGCAAGTGTAACCATTATGGCAAGTGTAACTTATGGCAAGTTTGACTTATGGCAAGTGTTACTTATGACAAATGTAATTTTGGCAAAAATATTATGGCAAATGAAACTGAGCCGCTCCCCTTACTTATAAGTTCATTTTTTTTTACCAAAATTGTTAGAAAGACGGCTTTTCTTTGAAATAAATGATTTGTTTAAACTTTTATTTATTAAATAGCAATTTGATATCCTGTTTATTTGTATGTGGTTGTGGGATGAGTTTTGTATTAATAGTTTTAGCCGGAGAATATTATTTGATATATTTTTATCGAACAATTTTTAATGCGTCCGCCAATTATTCTTCATAGTAAAAAAGGGTTATACAAATTCTTTATGCAACTTTTATAACTACACACGGCCCTCTGATTTGATGGTTTTTGTTCGCTGAATTTTTGTAGTTAAATGATCAAGAAGGCCCCCCCCCCATATTGGATAACATTTTAAAGAGAATATATACGTAATTTCAAGTGACACTCCATTTACAGTGTGCTGATTTTATACCTTTTAACCCTATATCTGAGTATCTATTTGAGGAAGATTTAGTCTTTATTTCTTTTTAAAGTGTCAAATTGAAAGAAAACAGTTTTCAGCCAGAAAAAAAACCTCAGATAATCTAATTCATTCTTAATCAGAAAAAAGATTAAAAGGTGCCGTTGTGAATCGTACTTATGCTTATCTTTAAATAGAGGGTCATTTGTTATTACTTCTGCTGTTCCCTTATCCTATCTGTTTTTTGATAATTTACAGGGTTCTGTGTAGACATTCCACTGTTTTGTAAGACACGACAGGCTCGACTGGAGTCCTTAGATGAGGTTTCCTGTTCTAGGTTGTAATATCCTTCTCCCCACTCTTCATTGTTTATTTATATTTCAGAAGGGGAATCACATGACGGTCACGATCACGAGTTGCCCAAAATATTTAAGGTATAGTTCATCATTTTAAAAGTTTATCGCATCTTTTATCTTGCCCTAAAGGTTCGGTGATCACTGATCGGAGAAATGAGATCATTATAAGGAATATCTAGTATCCTGCAACAGCTAGCCCATTTTGATTATTTTACACTCATTGATCTAATTAATTGATCTAATTATGTATTACTTAAATTTAATTCAGTTTCAGATCGCCCATAAAGTTTATGCTAACTTTGAATTTTTTCTATACAGCTAGAGAATTATCTCCAATCTTTAACGCCAAAAATACGCACATAATACTTGAAAAATCTAGCATTTTCTGCAAAAAAAAAATTCTTTTAGCCTTATTAATTTTTTTTAAATGATTCATTCTTCCTAAATTTTCTGATTTGTCCCCCAAATCGTAATTTAGACCCATTGACTCAGTCTAATTTGATGTGGGACACCCTGTATATAATGTAATTTGAAAGTATTTTATTTCTTTTAATAGATCAATTACGTGACTTCAATTGACTAGCGTGTTATATAAATTTTTAAAATTACTTTATATCTAAATCACATTTTTCCCCCTCTGCCTTTAACCCCAGAACAAATTATGATAGGAAAGAAGAATTTTGTTAGATATGCAGTCATAATCAGAAAGACCCTGAATCAATTTATAATTTACAATCTAGTTTTACAAACATGATTAATGAAATGGCCCTAATCCTGCTAATTCCAAAATGTGGTCTACCTTTATTGTGCGTTTAAATTTACCAAAGATATAATATGTAATGTCGTCTGATTAACTGTCAAATGATTCCGGGTCTTTCTGGTTATGACTGTATGACCCCTTGTATTTAGGACGAACAGCTGGCTTTTCTTGTCGACCCTGTTCTACGCGAGGAAGACATTAATCGTGACGGATTTATCGACTACGCGGAGTTCATTTCCGCAACCATAAAGAAGCGCGTTGGCTCCGTCAACGGTGTCAAGTCGTCTTCATAATACGATTTTGGCGCAAATTTGTCACAAATATGTACTGTGTAATGAGTGAACCGTAAAGGGCATTTAAAAATTTAGTTTACAATTAGATATTTTTCTCTACAGATTGAACTATTGTTTTTTTAAGAGTTTTATGTTTTTGTAGTTAAAATTGGAAATTGAGATTTTATGATTATTAAGAATATAAATATAATTTGTGATAACAGAATAAAACTGAAAGAAACCTCTTTAAATAATAAGTAATTTTAATTAATTTTAAATCTTTTTGAACTTAAAACCTAGCTTATATTCTTTATATAATAATATGATAATCTTATGAGGAAAAAAATGTAATAATGGAAATTCTTAAACGAGATGAAATAATCTTTATGTATTCTTTAACGAAGGCCGCATGATGTATTCTTCAACTCAGGCCTGCGGCCTTCGTCAAAGAATACATAAAGATTATTTCATCTCGTTTAAGAATTTCCATTATTACATTTTTTTCCTCATAAGATTATCATAATATCAGTTTTTAAATATCTAACGTTATAGCAGTATTATGAATTATCTAATGATATTTTCATTAAACAACCTGTGAAGTTTAGAGTATGTTTGTTTAAACAACCTGTGAAGTTTAGAGTATGTTTGTTTAAACAACCTGTGTAGTTTAGAGTATGTTTGTTTAAATCAAATGCCTATTCCTTGTCGCTAAGTGTATATGTGCCGTGCAATATTATGAAAAAAGTAATCAGGGGCGTATACAGGAATTTGCCCCCTGGTAGCAATTCCTTGTTTCGCTCAGTTTAAATATTTGTTTGCATTTTTATATTTTTTACTGTGATTTTATCATGTGAATTTTAATCATTTAAGATGTAATTTCTGCCCTCTTCTGCTCCAAATAAACCGTAGANTAAATATATTTATTATCAAATATATTATTTGATGGACAATGGATATGACACAAATCATTCTAGACAATGTAAACCATTCAAGGGATATTTTAAAGAATTTGAGATGCGTTCAGAATTGGAAATTATCCAGAAATTATTATATTTTGAGCTGGACTTGGAGAATTAGAAATGATGTGATAAAATATGTTTTCTTCACTGCTTGGTTACAGGTTTCCCCATGTAGGATGAGACTTCAGAGACGACTGTACGTTACCTTATTTTCATAATTCCCTGCAACAATCTTCTTTATTACTTTCCCAAATCAGAAAATAAGCCATTTAAGACAAAAGACTTGATTTAAACTTGGGATCGTCATATTTATTTTGAGTTTCATGTCGTCTTTACAGTCTCATCCATTTTTTTTAATCCCGTATTTCTATGAATTTTAGTTCTTCATATAATCTGATACGTCTAGCTCCGCAACTCGGGATGCTCTTCCTCTCATCTGTTAAGTCTACACTGCGTACTCGATATCTCTAGATTCTCTGTTTAATTTTTACAGTTCACATTTTTAACAATCTTTAGTATTCAAAATATACACTATTTAACAGTCTAAGCTGCTAACTCTATATCTCTTGAATCTCGATATTCAATATTTAGTGTCTACATTTTTGAAAATCTCTAGTATTTAAAATTTACACTCTGTACAGTTTATAATGCTAACTCTATATCTCTAGAATCGCTATGATTAATCTGTACAATGTACACTGCCAACTCTTTATCTCTTGATTCTCCATGTTTAATCTGTTAGTCTTCAATGCTAGCTCTATATCTCTAGATTCTCCATGTTTAATCTGTTCAGTCTTCAATGCTAACTCCACATCTCTAAATTCTCTATAATCTGAACAGTCTTCATTGGTATCTCTATAAATCTAGTATTCTCTATGAATTATCTATACAGTCTTCATTGGTAACTCTATAAATCTAGTATTGTCTATGAATCATCTGTACAGTCTTCAATGCTAACTCTATCTCTTCAGATTCTCTGTTTAATCTATACAGTCTTTAATACTAACGCTATTTTTCTAGATTGATTCTCTATGTATAATCTGTACAGTCTACACTGCTTTAACTTTAAATTATTTCTAATCTATACAGTGTACAGTCTTCAATACTAAACTTGTTATGATAAATCTACAATGCTAAATCTTAAAATCAAGATTTTTAATGATTTATCCATACAGTCCTCAATGCTAAATCTTTAAATCTAGTATTCGCTATGTTTAATCTGTACAGTCTACACTGCTAACTCTTTAACTTTAGATTTTCTATATTTAATCTCATCTTAAGTCTTCAATGCTAACTCTATATCTATGGATTCTCTATGTTTAATCTGTACATGTCTTCAATGCTAACTGTATATCTCTAGATTCTCCATGTTTAAAGTCTTTAATATCAACTCTATATCTCTAGATTCTCAATGTTTCATCTGCACAGACTTCAATGCTAACTCTATATCTCTAGATTCTCCATGATTAATCAAAGTCTTTAATGTTAACTGTATATCTCAAGTATTCGCTATAATGTATCTGTTCACTGGACGAACTGGACATTTTGGCGTATATACTAGTTGCTGGGCGGTGATAAGTGAAGACACTTTTTTAGGATATTGACATATTTTCAATAAATACATTAGATGGCCTACTTCAAAATAGAAAACCCAGATCGAATAGATAGGAAGTAAAAACTAGTAGATATATCATTTTAGATAGGACATGCGTTTATATGGGGGGGGGGGGGTGGTCAACCAGGGGCGTATTCAGGAATTGGTCCAGGGGGGCTCAGCACTCGTTAGGGCCTGAAATCATTAGATTTCACTGGTTCCAGGGGGGTTTTAGTCCCCATAGCCCCCCCCCCCCCTGAAAACGCCTCTGGGGTCAACAGGTTTTAGCGATTAGGAAAGGCAGGGGGGTTTACGATATTTTCTAGAAGGGGACGTCCCCCCCATCAAGACGCATCTGAGGAAAAGGGGAAACTATGCAATTTATGGACTGAGAAGTTAATACAAATCGGCAATCCAAATTACATGTTACAATAATTGCTTGTTTCGTTTTCTAATACCTTTTAAGATTTTCGGACTTTAAACTATTGGGTAAAATTTGGATTAATTAAACTACAAATTTTTAGACAAAGAGAAAATATCAGAAAAAAGGACAGTTTTGGTTAATTTTTGCATGTATCTTTATTTAGGGTAAAAATTTCACACAGTGTAAAGAAAGAAAATGTTTAATAAATTTTGAAATTTGTAAATTCTTTCAGATATTTGAGGAATCTTTTTAAAGACCGTAGTTCGTTTTAAAAGTAGATAGAAATAGCTAAATTACTTATTAAATTAATAAGAAATAGATTCAACTACGTATTAATTAGCTATTAACTTATTTCAAATACTCAAAATACTCTAGTTTTTGAGATTAGGGACATGATCACGTCCATGATGTGTCAATGGCCTAGAATGATCAAAAATGTTCAGCATGTTGTATGCTTATACCGAAGGAATCTGAAGGTCTTATACAGGTCCAAGGTATTCGCAAAAACATAATCTTAAATGTGATAAACAGTTTCAATTTTCATACGATAGGCTTGCCATGAGTAACTAGAATCTATGTAAGAAAGTCACCGGAAAAAAACTTGGAAACCAAAACGTTGGTAAAAAGACCCAATTTTCCAAAGTCCTAAGACAAATGTCTCTTTTCCTGGGACTTTTATTCTAAAATCCCATTTTGGAAGTTGTGTTTACTTTCAAATATGTGAACAATCCCTTTAAATGTGTTTTTTGTTTTTAAAAGTTTGCTCAAGTGCAGAAAAATAGGAAAGTGATTTTTTTCAAAAACATTTTTCCCAGAGAGGAAGCTTTGTTTAATATATATCTAATCCATTGTTTGTGTTCAACCTAATACAGTTTGGAATCTTATTCATCCATTCACCCAACTATTTTATCCATCAATCCATTCACCCATCTATTTTATCCATCAATCCATTCGCCCAACTATTTTATCCATCTATCCTCTAATCTTTTATTCATATGCTCTTGTTATTGTTTATTTTTTAAGATTATTTTGTTAAGAAAAAACATTTGTTGAATTATTGCCTGTTTTTTCTCTGCTGAACAGCATAGGATAACATGAATACGGGGATGTACTAAAAATAATATTAACCTTCAAACTCTTTAACAAAATTTGAGAAACGAATGCTTGCAAATCATCTAATCATCAATAAGGATTTTTAAGTTTGAGGGTTAAAGGTTTCAAGACTGTTTTCTTTAAGAGTTTACTTTTATTAAAACTATGTCAAATTTTTATCGAGCGAAAATAAAAGGAAAAAAGTATCGTTTTTGGTCATTTATTTGCCTACCTATATCTGTTCCCAGGGTTACAATGTGGCATAGTGTAGGGAATGCAAATATTTATCATCAATAATTTTTTAAAAGTTCAAAAAACTAACCAGGTTATTTTTTATCACAAAATACAAGTAATAATTTTAGTTTCTGCATTCTTTAAATTTTAAAATGATTTTGAACCCCAATGTATAACTCGCTAACTATCTAAACTATGTCTCGTAAAAAGTGTTGATAAAATATTCTATTTTGACGTTGGTTTGCTGGCGGCTGAATTGCAGGAAGGACTAAACTCACTAAACCGATTTCAGGATATTAGATTCTTCAGCCTTAGGGCACAACATGGGTTTATACAGGCATATAGAACACAGTACACAACATGGTTTTATACAGACATATAGTACACAGTACACTACATAACTATATGTACTCTAGAAGTATATGGTTAAATCCCAACCTAAACCTAAATGTATAAATTGGTCTGTTTAGCCTCGTATACACTGATACAAATATAAACTTTTCTTTTATAAACTTTTTATCCTTTGGTGTAAATTGATTTAAAAACTTTTTAATCGGAAAACTTTGTTTAATTACACGTTTTATTAAATTAGAACGAATTCCTTTCCTGCAAGAAACATAGTTTATTCATTTTAGTGTTGCCGAGATGAAAGGGGGGATTTGCAAAAAATGCATTGTTTTCGTTATTTTAGAACTTGCTTGATTTTAAGGGAGGGGGGAGAGGAGTTTTATTAAACAATGAATATAAGAAAGCAAATTAATACTTGTGTAGGTTTTTAGCACTGGAAAACTTCGTGAAAACATTTATATTTGTTTACAAGCATATTAGTTTTATTAGAGGGACGTAATTTCAATTGAAATCTTGAAAACCTGATATTTGGTTGAGTACATACACTACACAATTAAGTGGGACTGCCTAATGAGTCCACTTAAGAAATTTACAGAAATAATTTATTAAGACTTTTAATATGGCAGTGTGAACTGTGTATATGATCGAATAGTTTACATAGTTAAAAAATGTATGAATATTTTTAAAACAAAGGGGTTTTTAAGGGGGGGGGGGGGGGCACAATACTCTCGTACGCCTCTGTTCATGTTCATTGGTCTATTAAATTCATCGTCTCCATTTCTTCCAGTTTAATGGGACCCACTGTGCTACCAATCGTATGGATTGGTTATCTTAACAAGATTTCTGAATTATAAATAAAAACTTTTGATTCCATTTAATACCTCTTTTGAAATTATTACCCGTCATATTATATATGATTCCTTAATAAATATTTAATTTCAATATGCCGAGCGGGTCAACTAAAAACTTGCTTTCTATTTTGATCTTCTCATGTCAAACTAAAGTAGATTGTGCGTAAGATTTAAATTTTAAATATTTTAAATTAAGCTTCTCCTATTGAGAAGAACAAAAAGGTTTTGAATTTATAATGAGTAACCAGAGCTGAAAACTTTAGACTTGTGGATAGTGAGTTCAATGTTTATTATCTTCTTTTTATTAATC